AATATCTGACACAACTATATTGTCGTCTTTTAAAGGTTTACTTTTAGGGAGGGGAGCTTGTTTGGGTGGATCCCTGATGGTCTAATCACTATCTGCTGCTGTGCAGCTTGTTTTCATATAAAGAGCAAAGTTATTACCAATATTTCCTTTTTAAATTTTGTTGGCTGAATTTTACCAGCAAAATAAAGTACACTGATTACATTCAATATGTATTCAAATGTAGCGTAATTCAAGTAAATGTACATTTTAAGCTGAGAGGAACATTTTTAGACTTCTTAAGTCCAGATCTATAAACTGTTCATTTTAAGAGCACATTTTTATTTAGTTTTAACCAAAATGTCAATTAGTTTTAGTCAAAATTGTTTCAGTCGATTAAATTGATGGCAGACAAAATTGTATGTAAATGTAAATATTTTTTCATCAATTCACTTGAATTATTAACATAAAATGATTGATGATTTTAACCAGTTACGGTCATATCTGAATATCCAATACATAAAAAAAAAGATTTAACATTTTTAACGTCTTAATTTTTTTGACCTTGATTTCAATAATAAAATATTTCAACCAGTCGCAACAAATTGCATATTGCGTTCCTCATATTTATACATATTTATTCACTGTAAGTCAAAACTAAACACTAAGCATGTGACCATTAACCCATCAAAATAAAATGAGCTATTTCTACTGTTCAAACTCAACATCCAAAACAGATGAACCACAGTATTCCACTGGAGCACATCAGGAAACGGAACCAGCCATGAAATTAATGTACCACCACCATCATCACCATTACCAGTCTGTGATTCTGGTCACTGATCACCTCCAGTCCTGTTTTCCTGATCCAATCTCTCTGGTATCAACCATCCACTCTAAGCCACTTAAAACAATCACAAGTTTTCAAAAATCCTCTTGAATTCATTGATGCTGGTCCAGCTCTGCATCTTCCTACTCTGTACTTTTTGCAAGTTTTCGCTGCACATGATGCGGTGCAGTTCATTTTATTTATTTTTTTAAAGGCGCAGGTGTTGAGAGCGGCGCGATGTTTGCTGCCCGTTTCTGGGCAACCGTGACATCATCGCCTGAAGGTAGTCGCCATGACAGTTCTGATGTCATGGCGTGACAGCCCTTATGTTTCCAATTTAAATACTAAATAATGAACGATTCCGTATCTTACAAGCCTGGACCAGACGTAAAGTAAAAACTTTCTGCACATGACAGTAACTATTAGCGTCCACATTGCAACTTTGGCCTGATGTTGGCGCCCATGTGCGCCAAAATTTCATGGCTTACTATGACATTTATAGCCGATTGTCGGTATCATTGTATGCATATTTGAAATAATTTACCTTTGAAAAAAATATCAGTGCGGTATTTATGATGCCTAATATTTTTAAATCGATATGTCCCGCTAACAATTAACCCCTTCTCTCAAAAGGTTAAAAAAATGTTTAAAATAAGTCCATAAATCATCTGGGTTCATTTGTAGAGGAGACTTTCTATAAAGTCTCCTCTACAAAAACTCAGAGGTTAACAAAAATAACATGTCTTTAACACATACAGTAGCCTATTTGTACTTTGGCTTAGAAAATTAGTTGCTGTGACTAAATAAGCTATCATTAAAAAACGTCCATTTTTCATTGAAACTACAGGGGTTTGCGTTAAGACTGCATTTTGAATTCAGCTTTGCACTTTACACCAAAAATCCATTCAAACGCAGATCATGTCAACAATAACTAAGCATTTATTATTACATATCTGTAAGCATTATTATTCAGAGTGTGAGCTGAAATATGCAGAAAACCCAAACAAAAAAGGTTTTCCCTTTTGACAAACGTAAACCTTATTAAACACAGTATATGCATATATTAATCTGTGCAGGTATGCATGAAGAGTTCAATTTAAATAAGGCACAAAAGAACAAAACCATAATTGTAACTCCTGTCATTAAGGTGATTTTGTTGCCAAGGAGGCTTCAGAAACAGCCCTGCGCTTTATAAACGCAGCTGAACGGATGAATGAAAGTCTCCACACTCACCGTCTGGCCGCGGGCGACGTGAGCGCCGCCACGAACACGCAGCTCTGCGGGAACTGTTTTCTCCTCTGTGGGTTTCCAGTGGAAGTCCCCCTTTTTACGGCAGCATCGAGCAACCCACTCCGTTTCACCAATGGCAAGGAGATTATGGCGGCCACGCCCGCCCTCACAGCCTTCAGGGAGGAAGAGCAGGAGGAGGATTGGACCCGCGTGGAGTGGGCTGAGTCTGTCACGTGACAGCCAAAGCGTGGTTTTAAACACGCCGCTCTTTTTACGTTGAACGCTTGAGACTCTCAGGGCTTTTACACAATGGCAAGAGAAGGTAAAGGTTTTATTTTATAAAGACACATTTCTTTACAAATATATATATAAAACAATAAAGAAGAAGATATAATCTAAGACATAAAGAGGATTCATTTAAATATGAAGGGACGTAAAATATTCTTAGAACAGAAAATATTCATTTTCCTTTGGGATTTGTCTTTGTCTTTAAGTAACCAGGCTTTTTACATTTTCTTTACTCAAAAGAAAACTTTGCTGTTCCCAAATTGACTTTCAGTTAATTTAATAAAGTCGACTGTTTACAGCAAGCATTTTCAAAAAACAGTGACAAAAATCCTGATTTTCTTGACTAGAATTAAGTGGGGGGAGAAGGGGTTTCAGTTGATAAATAGAAAATTAAGTAAATTAATTTATTTTAAGAAGAAAAACATTCAAAGCCCTTTTCACATTTTGGACTTTGAATAATTTACACAAATCTGACTCCTTTATTTGTTTAATTAAAATATTACATGGTTACTTCATTGTTGACAAGGTAAAATACCTTTTTTTTTGGGTAATAAAGTCATTTTGACTTCACGATTCTGGTCCATGTGATCAAAAGTTTAAAGAATTGAAGTCCATTACTGAAATGCCACCCAGGAAAGAAGAAGCCGTGACTCAAATAACTACAGAAAACCTGATTATAGTTTTCAAAAGCACTCAGAGACAAATTAAATGTTTCCCTGCGGTCTGATGAAACTAAAATTTAAATGTCGGCCACAAGATCGTCATTAAATATAAAGTAAAACAGGGACAAGTCCAAGAATACCATAACATCTGTAAGACCTGGAGAATGACCGTAAACATAGTTTCAGGACATCAAAGTTAACGTTTTGGAGCGACAATTTAAAAACTCTGATTTCACTTCCATGGAGAAGCTGCACACAAGTCAGTCGGCCAAAATAAACATTTGACTCTGCTGCACCAGTTCTGCACGGAGGAATGATTAAAGTTTCAGCAACCCGAAACCTTTAACTCAGCCTTTAACTTAGGATTGAAAAACAAACCTAAGAAATAGAGAGCACACATTTATACACATTTGAATTTGAATAAAAAACCACCCTCATTATTCTGTGGTTTAGCAAACAACAATATAACTTTTGTGATCTGGTGTGGCCAGACATGAACACTTTAGTCTCATTTAAATTAATTAAATTAATTTTGAATTTAATCTTCCAGCACTGCTGCATTTTAATTGTTAAATGATTAAAATTGAAGCTTCCAATAAAAATGTTGGAACTGTTTTAAACTGTAAAAAGGTTTAATATCTGAAAAAATCTTCCAGTATTTGCTGATTTATTTCTGGGGAAACATTTTTTTGGTGGCCTTTGGACCTGGTTCTTGCTTCACTGGACCATTCTGGCCAGAACTGATTTGGTTCCTTTTTTTGCCAGGTTGTTGAACTTCGTGTTCAGTTTATTTACAGCTGCTCTCCTCCCTGCCACCATTTCCCTCTTTCTTCATCCTTTCTGGATCAGGGCTCTGTTGTTGCTTCAACATGGTTTGTTTTTATAGGCAGATTGTAACTCCAGTGCTCTGAAATTTACAGTGTAAACAGGGTGGAAGTGCAGGGCAGCCTGGAGGGCATCTTTCTGCAAAACAGTAACCTTCTTAGCACTTCGAAATGTCTTCAGAGAGGAAAAACCACATTAATATTCGAAGCTGCTTCAGCTGAAGGAGATGCTGACAGTTTATGTTTAAACTAGAGCAGTTGTTGCACTCTGCTGCAATATTTCACTTTTCTAGGAATTGGTTTATTTGGATCCTAAGAATTTGTCTGCAGTTCATTAGAAGAGAGCCGGGTTGGTGAGGTGAATAATTTAAGTCTTTGTTATTCCTAAAATAAACTGGAGGATCTGGGAACATGAAGGTTGACACCAGCCCTGCTCAGTCCAGATTAACCAAACTCTGGTGCATTTAAAAAGCTCAGTCTCGGTTTATGTGAACTCTGATGTGATTTGAAAGCATTTGTGGATGCAAGTGCAGTGGAGACTGGACTACAGCGCTGAGCATTCTGGGTAAAAACTACCAAAACAAATGTAAATTTTGCCAAAGAAAAAAATAGAAATCCTGCATCTGCTAAAATCTGATACCACTCCATTTTTGTTTACGTTTCCTGAAGAAGGAAGTTCTGTCTTTTTCAGAGGTTTTTGTCGTTTCCTTCAGTCCTTGGTGCAGCGCCCCCACAAGCAAAGAGGGGAACAGCTTTTTCAAACTTTGTTGGCTCTGGTTCCCTTTACTAACAGTTGTCAGTCAGGAAAGTGGGTTATGAGAGAGAGGGAAGACATGGGGCAAAGATGATTGGACTGGGACTCAAACCTGTCGAGGACTTATGGTGAAACCAACCAGCGTGAAACCAAACCGCAGCAGCTGAAAATGCAGCAAATGTTGTGATTTTGGCTTCCAGCCGAACCAAGTCTGCCAGGTCAAAGCATCAGAAATATGAGCTCTACCCCACTGAGTCTGGCTTTTAACCACTTCTTTTGCTGTGTAGGCTACATGTTCAAGTGGCAGAACAAAAGCAGCTTTTGAATCCCAAGTTTGGTCTAACTCTGACGTTACTTGACTTCTAATGTAACATTTAAAAAATTAATAGAAAACATCAAAATACCTCAAATTATTGAAACACATTGCATGTTTGCTTCTTACTGTATTAAAACTGTTCAGAAATATTTATTAGGAGCCAAAATCCAGCTTTGATTCACGATCATCTCAGCTTAACGTTGCTGTGGCGCTGGTCGAACGGAGTGGGCGGCGGGAACAACGGCCTCACGATGTAGTCATCCTTGTAGTTTGTGCTGAAACTCATGTCGCTCAGCGGGAACTTGAAGTTGGTCTGTTTGGTGTACAGAGATCAAGTTAATCACCAAGCTTAGACATTCCTGCACAATTAGAAACGGTATCAGTCACTGCAGCAGGAAATTGGATGATTCCTCACCGATCTCTGCGACTCACACTGCGGCTGTTGCGTGATCTTCTTAGGCTTGAAGTCAGCCATTGTCATGCTGATTTTTGGCTCCAAATCTGAAAAATAAGTAAATGAACAACATATTATTATTATTACTATTTCTTTTATTTTTATCATTACTCTTTCGACACATACCTGGTCCGGTCAGAATGTAACTCTTCGGATAAGAAACTGGTTTGGGTTGATCTACGGCCTGTTGGATGCGCTCCTCAGTTTTTTTGTAGCTTTCTTTTGACTCACTTTCTGGGCCAAAATAGACGTTACTTTTCGTAATCAAGTCGAGATCAGGTAAAGAGATTGGAAGCTGTGAGCCTTTCTGCTGGTGTGTGAGCAAATGTGACACCTTCAGGTTACTGAATCAAAAATAATCTACATTAAATAAAACTCCCACGCTCTATGAAAGGTCCCAAGCTGGCCTTTTAGGAATTTAACAGTTAGGAATTAAGAAGAATGTCATGTTTGTGCCAATATAAACACATAGAAACTGCAAAGATTTGTAAGCTTACACTTGAGTAGAAGATGTTGTTGGTGGTTAAAGGAATGTCTTCTGCGCTTCGCTCCTTGTCAAAGGGCAGAGAGCTGACTTTCTGGACCTGGTTTACTTGGACAATAGGCTCTGTTGACAAGGAAACAAAACTAGATTAATCACTGCTTTCACTGCTTTTTTCGTTGTTTATCCTTGTTGCAGAGAGAGATAAAGTTTGAGGAAACTTAGCGTTTCAGTTTTTGCAGCAGAATGACTGAGAACATTCAGGAGTTTAAACATCAAGATCAACTGTTATGAAGGTTTTGCAAAAGCGAGGACGCCAAGGTCTTTGCTTTTATTCATCTGTTTACAAAGAGAAACCTGATGATCAACTTTCAGTTTGACCTAAACCAGCTCTTATCTGAAAATAAGAGCAGAATTGTTTTCTAAATACTGACAGATCTCAGCTGGTTTCTTGGATTTCTAAGCTACTTTGCAGTTTTTGTTTTTTTTCTTCCCGTGTTGTTTTATTTATTATACATAATTTAGGGCCTAATTTTTGCAGGTTTCTTTTTGTGAGTAGATTTCCTCGGTTATTGTTGGAAGACATTGCTGGCCAAAACATTAACGGTACATATTCAACACTTTTTACTCGCTGTAAATGGCCAAATGTTCCACAGTTTCACTTTTATAAAGCTGTCTGCATCTAATTCACTGAGACAGAGAACTGCATTATTATATCAGGACAGAAGTCAAAATGAGGAAGAACGAACCGACTCTGTGGGGTTTAAAGTCTTCTCTGAAGGAGGTGGCCCAGTCGTTTTTGTAGTCATATCTACGTCTCAACTCATCCTGACGTATCGGCTTCGTTGGACTGTAAAAACGTTTCAATCGTTATTTTGTTCATTAATAAGAAAATATAAGATGACCAACATTTTTAAAAGCAACAATAAGATTTTAATTTATAAGTATTTAATGGTGCCTGATGATACATCGATATTAAAGGTTTCAGTATTTCAAAATGTTTTTCCTTTTTATTTTGTTATTGCAGTAAAAAGTTGTCAGTCTTAAACTGGATAACTTTTCCTTTAATTTTCCTCTGTGGGGTTAAAGTTTGGACTGATCCACGCTTCAACATGTCGCCCTGAAATCCTCCTTCACAATCTGAACCTGATGATTTCTGATATTGAAGTCCTGCTTGCACTGATGCAGCCATGAAACAGAACAACTCTAATATTTCAGACTTTTTCTAGAGATCCAAAGTCTGTTCTTTATCCTCCCTGCTGCAAACAGGAAGTTTATTGAGTTTCTTCACTGCTGAGTGAAAAGATGGCACTTTAATCCTTTCACATTCAAGCGTTTCTGACCACCATTCCATCTATTTTTCTTCCTTGACAATGATTAGCTATGACTCTAATTTATTTTGTTGTAACATTTCTCCTCATTATGAAAATGTTCTGACCTGTTGACGGAGATCTGAGGGAATGCAGATGAATATGATGTCTGTTTCTCTGAACTCTTTGCAGGATCACCCATACAGACGGACGAGTAATGCTGAAAAACAACAAGAAAAACTTTTAATCTGGTGTTAATTGTAATTTCTGTAAGATATTTCCACCAGAAACAATTATTTTATACATTTTGACATTTAAAGCTGATCAAACTAATTAATTCGGCCTCTTTTTTGTTTAATAGTTCTATCATAATTGACTGTGTAAATCTAAGGAGAGTTTCTGAAACAATAAAATGATCTCAGAAGTGAATGTTTTTGTTTCCACCATATTGTTTGTGTCATACCCTTTCAGCCAGCTCTATTGGTTGGACAAAATGCCTCCTAAAGGTGTCTTTGTATTGGGAGAGAAAGTTGAGAGCACGTAGATCTCCTCTTATTGTTGGAAAACCTTCTTCTACAGAGAAAAAAAGACAAAACATGATTTGACATTTTTGTTAAACATTACCAACAGCAGGATCTGGAATTACTCATTACAAGGGACATAAGGTTAAAAGGTTTATTGTTCAATGTTTAACTTGTTGTTGGAAAGCTAATCTTAGCAAACTCTGCTAAATATTCAGATAAATCCTGTGGCCATTCATTCATAACTTAGCATGGCTTTTCATTTAAATCATAAAGCAAATGTGAACAACATACCTAAATGACTGACTTTGGGTTTTACCAGTTTTGATGGTGGATGTGGAATAAAGCTGGCGTGTGTCATGCTTATAGGAAAGTCTTGCTCCGTCAGGACGCTTAGTTTTGGTTGAAAGTCGCTGGTAGCTCTCAGGATACTCGTGTCCTGGGAGGAGATTCCCTGAAGGTCTGCAAGCATGTCAGAGTTATCCTTGTGCAGATTATGCATGGCAAAATATGAATCAGGACACCTGTGTCAGGTATGTGTGGGGTATCTGAGCTGTTTATGGCCTAAAACAGCTCTAGTAATCTGACTATGACATGAGAATTGCTTTCTAAATACTGACTAATTTCGATGGTTTGTAAGCTGTTTTGCAGTTTCTTTTCAGTATTAACCATTTGCACATTGCGTCTCTTCAGAACTCGGCCCGCTCCGCCATGACGGACGTCCAAACTACCAATGCGCTCATGTACAGCCTGTCAAAAAACAGACATCTCTGGCCTAATAAAGCTTTTATTTAGTTGATTTCACTTCAGAAATGGTCACAGGGTCTAGTGCGATTCACTCCACAAACAGACAAGGATGCAAAGCAAACTTGTAATTTTTCTGGTGAACTTTTAATGAGGAAAGACGCGGCAGCGGCGATGGATATTCATTCTGATTTACATCAGTATGAATGACATCATATAATGTGATATGGTTTATATCACATTATAAATATCATAACGTGCTAACTTTTTCTAGCCTCTGTAAACCCCGCCGCCTATATGAGGCCCGACCAGGTGTGTTATGTTTTCCTACAAATTAGTTTGACTGGAACAAGTAGAAACCACGAATAAACTGCCAGAAACAACTTAAGTTCCTCTATTCAATTTTCCCGTCCCTCCCTTCCAATGTCCATCATGGCGCCTCAAATGATTTAGTTGCAAAGGGTCAATTGATTTTCACCAGTGATTTTTTTTTTCCCTGTGTCATTTCATTTATTACAAATTTTTGTTTTTTTGTAGATTTTTGTAGATTACCAACACTTAACAAGCCCATGAGAAACATATTTGCTGAGACAAATTAACATATTCAACACCTTGTTTCCTCACTGTAAGTGGCAAAATGCTCCACATTCATTTCCCGGTTCACTTTCTGTATCATTGTATCTAAAAGCCATTGTAACAGAGCTAAACTCACAGTAAGTAAAAACATACCAACTTTGTGGCCTCTAAAGTCATCTTTGAAGGTCGAGATCCAGGAGCCATTGAAGACATCGCTCGGGTTGAGCACCTGATTATCCTTCTTCTTCGGCTGTTTGTGAAAACTATTCATTTGTTCTTTTGTTAATTACAAATAAGAAAAATACAAAATCATCTACATTTTTCAAAAAGCAACAATAAGATTAAAAATTACAATAACTTAATGTTGCCTGGCCATAAAGAAAACAACTATGCACAGTGATTTGGTAAACAAACTTTGACTTTTCAGCGTCTCTTTTTTCTGTTATTGAATTAATTTTTTTTTTTTGTCCACATTCAGAAATGTCCGTCAGCTATTGAATCTGGTTTTTTACTTTCTTGAAAATGATTCGTATTCACGTTTTAACATCTCGCTCCACGTTTCACCACTTAAAACCACAGTAGTTTAAACTACAGCCGAGACCTTTACAGTTCACTGTTCTCCATATCTGGGATCAATAACTTTGAGGTGAAAAATACTAACCATTACTGAACTCTTCTAATGACAGATTATTGCATTTTAAGATACTAAAATTAGTTGAAAAGACACGTTTAAATGAAATGAGTAATTTGACAGAAACTTTCCAGAGGTGGAGAAAAGTTTCGTACCTGCTGAGATTGAGGTAGGGGTACGATTCTCCGTATATTGTCTTAGTTTCTGAACCTTTCTCAGGGTCGCCTATGATGACGGTGGAGTAATGCTGAAAAACAAACGCAAGAAACCAAGTAAAAATAACTTTAATCATTCATTTTATAGTAGGTTCCTAACTTAAATTAGTTCTAACAATGTTTTATGGGCTACTGGATTCACAATTATCTGCCAGGATAGACAAGGAAGGAAGAAGGGAATGAAAGGAGGGAAAAGGAAGGAAGGAAGGAAGGAAGGAAGGAAGGAAGGAAGGAAGGAAGGAAGGAAGGAAGGGAGGAAGGACAGTTTATCTAACACACTTGTAAATGTTGAACTTCTGTGTAAGTCTGTTATTTTCTACTCGATCTTTATCACAAGTATGTTGGCAGCATTTCTAAAGAGAGTTTGTGAAACAATGTTAGCTGTTCTCCCATTAAATTATCTCAGAACTGAATGTTTTTATTCTCGTCATAAACCTTGTGAAGTACCTTTCTAACAGGCTGCACACGCTGGTGAAGATGTTTCTTAAAAATATCTTTGTAATGGGTGGTAAAGTTGAAAGTGCGTGGATCTCCTTTTATCGTTGGAAAACCTTCTTCTACAGAGAAACAACGAAACAAAAGCATGATTTGACGTTTGCTAAACTTTACAGACGACATGATCAAGTGATAAAGCCTCACTGCAATGATTTCAGTGTTGCTCATTACGAGGTGCAGAAGGTTAAGAAGTTCACTGTTCAATATTTAACTTGATTTAAAAAAGCAAATCTTGGCAAAATCTGGTAAATCTTCACATAATTACTGCGGCTATATGAATTCATAAGGCAAATCTAAATAACACATAAGACTGTGACATACCTAAATGTTTTGGTCCACATCTTACTAATTTTGATAGAGGTTTTGGAACATAAGAGGCATGTGTGACGGTTTCAGGAATATCTTCCATCGTCTTGAATATTGTTGTGTCTGTTGGTTTAAATTTTTTGACAAGCAGCTGACGGCCAGACATTCCCTGGGACTCCATGGTAAAAGTCTTCCTTTGCTTGAAAGTTTGTAGACATGTTAGAGTTATTCTGCTGCAAGTTATCCATGGAAAACGACACGGCGGGACACCTACCTCTGGTATTTGTAGTGTCTAAGCTGTCGATTGCTTTCAGAATACTGTTCTGCTGCCTCCAAGCTGAAAGTCTCACTCTACCCTTATGTGAGTTGCATGAGCATATGGCTAATTTCTGTCTCTGCAGATCTAGAGGGTCCTTCTTGGAGCAATGCAAATGTACTTCAGCTATATGGTTTCAGAGCATTTGGAAAATGCTACAATGCCTCACCGTGGAAACTTCTGTGCTGTGGAACATGATAATGTTGCTAGCTGCAACTGCAAAGAAACAAACTAAAGGCATGGTGTCAAATAACTTGTCAAAATAAAAACAGTACCAAAAATTGTTCATTTTCATTGTGTGTACATCTACAAAGGGACATGAAGTAATAGGGAGGTGGCAAAATCTTTAAAAGCAAAGGAAAGACAAATATGATGCAACATGATGTAATGCACTTTTGCTCATGCTTCAATGACCGAAGAAGACTTTCCCAGTTTTTAAAATAATCTAATCAGAATGAAAACAAAATAATACAAAAATAAAGATGTAAAAATGTACATTTTTAAATCAGTTTCAGTATTTATACTAGTCTTCATTGTAAATATCAAAAGTGTATTCCTTCAATGGACAGTTTAGTGATTAAAACTGACTTGAATGTGACAAATTTAATTCTATATCTACAAATTAAATTTTACTTCCTATTTTTAGTGGGGTAAGTTGGAAGTGGAAAAGGGGCTTCACATCTTTAAGGGAGTTAATTCACCAGTATGACTTGGACATAGATACTTCTGTTTACTTTCAACAGGCGTTTGACATGGAGATTAAAAAATAAATCGTTCTGCTTTATTTGTGCATAACGGCATTCTGATTTAAATTTGCCTTCAATAAACAAACTGGGAAAGATTTTACTCCATTTACCCAAACCCACACCTGAAAATATATGAAAAATGAAGTACCTATATATATAAATATATATATATATAATATATATATATATATATATATATATATATATATATATATATATATATATATATATATATATATATATATATATATATATATATATATACATATATATATATATATATATATATATAGATATATATATATATCTATATATATATATATATATATATATATCTATAGATATATATATATATATATATATATATATATATATATATATATATATATATATATATATATATATATATATATATATATATATATATATATATATATATATATATATATATCTATAGATATATATATATATATAAATTTTTTGGGCTAAAATGAGTGATGGTGTGTCCAAGTTTTACCAGCTGTACTACCTCACTACGTTTGTCACGTAAAGTCAATTTCTCCATGGCAACGGCAGAGGTCAGTCAAATTCCATTTCAGTTCAGTAATATTTCAAATCATATCAAATAATATATGTTAAAAATTTAAAACCAAATATATGGATGCGGTAAAATGTTGATTAAAGATTAAAACTGCTTTAAAGAAAAAAAAAAAAAAAAGCTGTCTTTTTCTCCAATGGAACCCAGAACACGGAAGTGACGTAGATCAGCGGCGTTTTCTTCCGCTCTCTTTTCGTTGAGGCTCAGCTAGCGGCCGGGTGGGTACACGTTCTGGTCGGGTTTTATTTTAGGATTTTTAACTCTTCTGAACACTTTCATACAAAAATATTTTGCTGCGACGTCTATTAAGTTAAAAATAGTTCCTGCTTGGTTGGTATCATTCGTGTTTTAGGTGCAGAATTTGCGTTATCGTATTTAGATTTCACGTTACCGACAGACATGTGGCGCGGCCTTTCAACGAGTTCACCGAGCTAACGGCTAATGCTACGTTTCATATCAGTCTGTACTGGCCCTGGAGATACATTTACATCATTTTAGATAACAAAAATACGACCAGCATAAATATTAGCGCTTATGTAGATTGTGTGTGAGAATAATGTGAACTCTGTAAGCTCTGAGATGTCATTGGAAGAGCTACCCGTTCGTCAAATCTGACATGAGTTTTTTTTCCTCCAGCCTGCAAACATGCAGATCTTCGTGAAAACGTTGACGGGGAAGACCATCACCCTTGAGGTTGAGCCCAGCGACACTATCGAAAATGTCAAGGCAAAAATCCAAGATAAGGAAGGTGAGGTTTTCATTTTACCACAAATACCAGTAAATTGTCTTCAATTCATTGTTTAATTTGGCCAAAATGTCAAATTAGTTACAGTGTAATGGGGTATTTTTATTTGCTTTATAGCCAAGGCAATGGAAAATACCAAATGATCTGGCTTTGTTTACTTTGTAGCAAACCTTAAAGCTGTAACAAGAACGCAACCAAAAGTTTGTCCTATTACCTCACACTGTACTGCATCTGCTTTCAGACACATTTATTTTGTCAGTCTTGTATTTTTTCTTATAGTTTACCGTAAGGAAAATGTACAGTTGCAGCTTTTGAGGTGGTTCAATGTGTAGTATTGGTGGTCAGTTTCGTCTCCACCAATAATACAATAAGTTGTGACTTTTCAGTTGATGTCGAGGTGTGAGGAACGTGACAGGGATCTAATTGGTTTAGAAATGTTTGGTATTTACTCATTTTCCAGGTTTAAGTATGATTAAAAACACAAAGTGTAGAGATGTTGGACTCTTCCATGCATTTTTTTTCAGTTGTCTATGGAGCAACAGAAAAAGTTTGCTCACTAATTTATATTAATTTGTGACTTTAACTTTGTTTTATTATTTTTATCATCAGTGTTTTAGTTTGTGGGTTTATTGGATCAATGTGCATGTGCGGAAAAATTAAATACTGCAAGTAAATGTGCCGTCATGCAGCGAGGCTGTTCTGACGCAAAAAAACTCAGAATATTTAGTCTGTGTTTAATCAGGGTTAGTTTATATACATTTTGACACATTTTAAATGTTGGGACATTTAGTAATTTGTTTGTGTTTGCAGGTATTCCCCCAGATCAGCAGCGTCTGATCTTTGCTGGAAAACAGCTAGAAGATGGACGCACACTGTCAGACTACAATATCCAGAAAGGTGAGGCTTGAATATCCCAAAATGCACAGAAGAACTAACACAGATGCAAATAATCTGTAGGATTAGAAACCATTAGTCTTTCTGCAGATCTGATATTCCTCCTATAAATGGAACATATAAGTATTTTAAAGAGATTTCAAAACAACTTTCCAAACAACTTGAGGTATAAAAATGTGTTTTCATTGTGTTTTAGAATCAACCCTCCACCTGGTTCTCCGTCTGCGCGGCGGCATCATCGAGCCGTCACTCAGACAGCTGGCCCAGAAGTACAACTGCGACAAGATGATCTGCCGCAAGTAAGCGGAGTTATGCAGAAATTTGCGCCATTATGTGCAAAATTCCTCTTCATTAAGTCACCATATTCAGACTAAACAATTTTGCATTTATACAGCTTAATATCAAGATAACTTTTAGTCTTAAACTCAAAATAACTAGTTTTTCACTTATTCTAATTTACAACACATCTAAGTTTTTCTGTATTTAATAGATTTTTGATGCAATATATTCTGACTTTAGTTCTTAACAGAACTACATCTTTCGATGTGAGTTGTTGAAAAACAGATTATTTTTCCTCCCAGGTGCTACGCCCGTCTGCACCCTCGTGCTGTGAACTGCCGCAAGAAGAAGTGTGGACACACCAACAACCTTCGCCCCAAGAAGAAGCTGAAGTAAACACTTTGGTTGGATTGGCACTGTGCGCCATTTTGCGTTAAAATAAATAAGAAAATAGTTTCCAGCCTGGTTTGTGTGTCATTTCGTCTGCTATAATATGGTGACATAATTACCTGCAATAAGGCACAGCTGGTCCAATGAACTCTTTATTACAGTTTGCCAAATGTTCTCAGATGAAGATGGCTGAGGAGCTCACATTATTTCTTTTGGCAGAAACTTTCCCTCTGTCCTGGATAACTCGTTATGTGATTTCCTCGAGTTTCAAACTGGACTTTTCCAGAACTTACTGGTCTGAGAATAATCAGTACAGAAAATCAAATATCACCTGGATGAGCTCATTAAGACACAAGGAAAGAAAGGCAACTAGTTCAGCAACAATAAAAAAAAAATCAAATGTATAAAGATCCAAAACTTTACATACTTTTTATTACAACTAAGTATTTTAGTTTCTAAGTAGCTAAATTAACCTTTATAACATGTTAGAAATCCTGAAGATTTCATTTCTGTAGGAATGGTAAATATATTTTTTCCATTAAAAGAACCACAGCAGGGTTATTGCAGGGCAAAATTTTAATGTTTAAAACATGTCGGTACAAATATAATGAAATCATCTCGTCAGATCCCATTAAAGATTTATTTAACGCTGATAGTTTAGTCGTCAGCACGCTTCCTGTTGGGTGGTTTGCTTCTACTCCATGGACAGCTCTGAGGTATTTGGAGTTGTATTTGAAGGTTAGATATGTTGGACAGAAGGAAAGAAAACCTGGAAAAATAAAATTTAATGGAGGCGAACAGGAGATTCCTTTAGGCGGAGTTTTTCTGTTCAGCGGAAAATCTTTGGCGCTGCTCTTTTGCAGATAGAGCGCTTCCTTTTATAGTCTATCCTAATGTATGAAAGAAGATAATTTCATGTTAGTGCTACATCTTTAGCCTAGTATTTCAAAAAGTATATACACTCACACACAAGGGATACAAAATTCTGCTTTTACTCTTCAGTACAAGCAGATTTAAAGAAAAAAACAGCAAATTTAAGTACTCCAAATGTCCAGTTATTAACTTTCCTTTAACACTTTTGTCACAATCTGCATGTTAAATATTTGAATGCTGACTAAGCCTACATGAAGTCTGGTCTGTTGGCAGTAGAGGGCATCCTGTCTGTTTCTGCCCCCGTCTAATGAACCTACAAGGTCGCTGTGCAGAAATCAGAGACGAGGCTGTTCTGACGCAAATGTCTGACATTAACCTTGCAGAGCGTTTTTTTTTCCTTCCCTCCTTTTTGGTGGCATGTAAGGTGGCAATTCGTCATAATATATTAACATATCATGAGAGGTTTTGCAAAGGTCTCAATCTACATGATTTCCATTTTCTACAAGCATGCGGCTTTGTTAGGAGTGTTGCTGGATCGGTTGCAGGCAGCAGCCGAGTTTTGATCCTTAGATGGTTAACGAGGCTGAAGAAATGTTTGTAGTGTATTTGTGACTCATAAAAATCAGAACAGCTGAGATTTTATTTAAACTATCAAATGACTAAATCAAAGCTCAACATGCAGCAACTTGTACCGCTTAATGTTCACATTTTACACAGTTTGGATTTTATAATGCAGAAAATGAAGTGTAAGGAAAATTAGTAAAATCAGAATTAAACGTGAGGAACATTAGTTTTCAGGTTTTCATAATGATTCTCAATTGAATTCAAGTCTGAACCTTAAATAGAGTTCTGCCACTCTTATCTGTAGATTTTGGCATGAAGTGGTTAAAGGAGCAGTATGAAACTTTTAGAAAAATAATTATCTGTTAATGCTGTCACCATGTTGTTACAGTTTAATACGAGACAGATAATCTGTAAAAAGATCAATCAGTTTCTCGATTACTAAAATATTCTATGATGGCGGGTAAATGGTAAGTTGCTTCTCTGCCATTAGCACATTTAGCAGTGAGTACATGAGATGATTGACAGCAATAAGGACCTCCTCCTGGCTCTGATTGGTTGTCTTTGGTCAGCAGCGGTGCATTTCTTTTCACTGATTATTATCACAGTTTAAACTGTCATGACATGGTGGCAGTATTAACAAATATGTAAAAATTAATTTTATAAAAGTTACTACTGCAGTTTTAAGGTTTTCTTTAAGCAATTCTTTCTGGCATCTGTGTAAAGATGGCTGAATACAAATGAATGTGACACGTTGTATTTTATTAAAACGTAATTTTCCTTCCACTTCATAATCATGCTCTACTTCATTAGACTAAAATTTTAAATCCCAATAAAACACTGAAGTTTGTGGTTGTCCTGTGCTAAACAGCAGAAAAGCTCAAGAGGTGTTAATACTTTTTCAGATGACTGAATACATCATAATGCAGTTTGGTTCTCAAACTGTTTTCACATCTTGATGCTTTATAATCATTCTGGCTGTCACTGCTTCTTCAGCTGCAAAAAAAACAACAACAAAAAAACAAAAACCGTATTTGTACCTATACAACTGTCACGGAGAAATCAATAACTCATCAGTTGCAAAGAAGCCATAAAAAAAAGAAGAAATTGATGGTTTTTGTGCATCTGGAGTTCACATCTTATGCTGACAGACGGGTCAGCTCAGTACCACTTTATTACTGTGTTGTGCGGTTTGGACCTGAGGCTGCACTGCAAAAATATTAAATATTACCAAGTAGTTTTATCTAGTTTCTAGTGCAGATATTGTATTACACTTGAAATACGGTAAATTACCAGAACATTTTCTGCAAAATACATTTTCTGCAAAATACAGGAACTTATTTTGAGTCAATAAATCTTTAATATTGATGAAAAAGTGATAGCTCCACTGCCAGATTTTTTTACTTATATTATGGGAAAAATATCTTATTTTTAGTAAAATAATCTGCCAGGGGAAACCAGTAGTTTTTTTTAAAATCAATATTAAGGAATTATTTACTCAAAATCCTGTATCTTGCAGAAAATTTACTTATAAGTTAGGTTTCTCTTATTTCAAGTTTACTAAGATATTTGCACTGAAACGAGATCAAAATGGCTTCGTGAGATTGTGTGTTTTTACAGTGTGCTCACATACAGCGTCTCATTGGTTGGCAGGTAAAGGGATGCTGCAAGGCTCATGCATTGTTACCATAGCGACCTGCATATCTGCTGAGCTCACAATTATTACTAATATTGGTTTTAATAGTGTTGAGCAACACAAAGTTTATAAAGTTAAGCTTAATCTTTCTGTGTGTGAATACTGACAAACGTAAACAACTAAACTTGGCACAGATACATGACGAAGTGCAAAATGATTCGACGTGAGACAAAAATCCTCGGATTCATGCAGACTTCTGTTAAGCAGCTGTAGCTTAAATTTAAATTCAACACTTTTTTAAGTTAATTTTTTTTCTTTTCATTTTTGGCTGCAGATTTTTCATCCCGGTTCTTGCGCACAACGCATCAATGAACATGATAGAACAAGTTGTGAGAAAGAGCAGTTCTTATAAAATATAAACAGTTTTATGCTGGCGATCCTCTGCGCTGGAGCGAGTTGTTGCATCGCTTGATGTGTTGGCTGGTGTGATCCTGCTGCCTGTGAACGGTGGGGAGCTGGAGATCCGGCAGTTTGTCTTCATGAGTCCAAACCCTGACCACGTTTCTACTGGGTGCATCTCCACAGCCTCATGGCAATTAATGCAGGTGTTCCATTTGTAAGTAGGGCTAAAGCAAACAATCATTTTAGTAATCGATTATTCTGGTAATTAATTGGGTGGAAAAAAATTGTCAGATTCTGCAGATATTTTATTAAACCACATAAGTTTTTTTTTTAAAGATGCAAATAGATAATCCCCAAAAAATAAAATAAATAAAAATGTTATTGCCTGAAACGCAAGAAGTTGCATTCCTATACGCTTGATCATTTGTTACAAGGAATGCATCTACAGTGAAAAAATAGTTAACCATTATTTTTTGATTAGTAAAAATGTACTAAAATATACTGACACTGACTGTAAGGTGTCTTTGTTGTTGTTGTTTTCATAAACATTGTATGTTTAAAAATACTGAATTTTTAAACATAAATGTCTCCAAATCTATGGGGGTTTGAAGACATTCAAAATAAAGGATGAAGGGTTGTTTTTGTGTTTTTCTTCATCATTACTTTTGTCTTGATACTCTTTAATGCCGTTAATACGGGTCATTTTGACGTTTTGGCGAACCTTTGCCGGACAAATGAAATATCATTAAATGTCCGGAAAACGTTGTTTGCGGACGTTCGGCACCGAACACTAAAGTTAGCCTGCTAACGTTCGGGAAACGAACGTAATGTTCCTAATAAAACACATTGTGATATTGGGCACAGCCGGCAGGCCAACAGTCGTTAGCCTGCTAACGTTCGGCAAACGGTTAGCAGCCTAACGGTTAGCGGGTTAACGGTTAGCAGGCTAACGGTTGACAGGCTAACATTCGGTAAACCGTTAGCAAACTAACGTTCGGCAAACGGTTAGCAGGCTAATATTCGGCAGCTTTCAGGGGACATTCTCTTAATATTAAATGCTAACAGGAATTTTTTTTTAAGAATTTGAACCAAGTGAAGCCAAAGATGTCACTTTAGAACATGTTTACAGGCAAAGAACGTTTCCATCTAAATGGCAAAATGTTTATATTTTTGATACATTTGCTGCTCTAAGTTGCTATTTTCTCAGCAAATGGCCGTTTACTCCAGATAACAATCAATTACTAAATTAGTCGATGATTGTTTGACTAATTGATCCAACCCTACTGTAAGCATTAGTAAATTGAATCACTAATAGTAACTAGAAGATTTAAACCTAAATGTGGCATCTCTACAACCACGTGAGGAGTCCAGGTGTTTATTTCAGTATTATGTAGACTTCAGAGAAAACTACAAGATAAGACAATTGACCTTTCACTCTCTCTTGTTTCTTGGAACCACACATGTAGAATTTTGATGAGGCGCTTGTCTGATGTAACTCGCACCCTGAAGGCTCTGTTATCTCACTGTCTGTCCAGACATGCCCAAGCGCTTGAAATATATACATACAGCTCTGGTGAAAGCAGAGCCGCTCTATCACTGTCCTTTTCTATTTTACACACACACTCAGGTTGTTTGGCTATTTGATAATTCAATCACCACTCTGGATTCCCTATCATGGAGAATATAACACCACAATGAGCTTGACATTTAAGGAACAGGCCAGAATCATTAAATATAGTGTTAAATAGCAATCCTCCTAAAAGATGCACTCACTTATTTTCTGTCAATGAGGCCTCACATTATTAATTTTGGCTCATTAATTTCATTACTATGAACATATAAAGCTGAATGGCTGGCAGCTTTTGGTTTTGCATTTTACTTACCAGGCTTAATTAATAAAGTGGATTTAAAACAGAGTATGACCTTCCTTTGATGCTGAAGTGATTTTTATCTCAAAGGATAGCTCATGGATGTTTCTTGCCAAATGCTAATTTGAGTTGGCACTGTCATTAAATGAGTCATGAACATGCAGTCACATTGAGCAGGGCCAATGGTGAGAAACAAAAGCCGAGGCTACTTCCACACAGCAGGCGAATGTGCCCTACCGGTATATCAGATTTTTTCACTGCAGTCTGAAAGGCCTAAAAAGATATGAGCCACTGGGACTAAATCAAATACATACGCCATTGTTTTCTGTGTTTGCTTTAAGATCCTCAACCTTTGTACCAGTACTGATCCAACTTGAAATTTATTCCTTATTTTTCTGACAATACAGAGTCAAAGTGATCATTACTATATTGTCTTTACTGACATATTTCAAGTCTATGCCTAAAGGTTTGCTAATATTTTGTCAACAATAATACTTTGAAAGTTTTGAAGATTATTTCTTCTTTTTGACTTTCATCTATCCATTGTCTTCTGCTTATCTGAAGTCAGTCAGCAGAGTCCATGAGGTCACCTCTTTCTGGTGACCAAAGTGTTAACAAAAAGGGGATTATAGTCTCTAATTTAATCTGGGGTCTCCTTCCAGCAATACGTTTTGACCAAACCTCCAACTGGAGGCACCATGGTGTTCCCAAACACCTCATACATCAGTCCTTGAACATTGTACAAAAAGTTTACTAAATGGTAAGTCAATAACTAAACACTTTTCTTTTCCAGCAGCCATTGTACAGCGCATGAAGCGGTAAAACCAGCTGACCAAACATGCTGGAGCTTTGCTGCGGTTGCTAAGTAACAGGCTGGGCATGGCTAAGGTTGCTGGGTAACGGAGCAGTGTTCGTAACAATCAGGAGATTTCTAGACAACAAAAAACATAAACTTCTGAAGCAGTTGAGACCAGAATTAAAGTAGAAAAATGTGCTAAATGCAAATTTTGCATATTAAGTCCTCTTTAATTTGTTAGTAAAATGAGTAATTTCACTGTTGTCTTGCAAGAAAAAATCCTCTGCAGAAACAACAAGCAGTTATGGTACGTCAACACGGGCTCACCTCAAGCCGGGAGGAGAGTTGAGGTTTAATGTGAGTGAAAATCTCAAATGTAGCCCCGAGTTTAAACAGCTTGTCACTGTTTGAACTGGACAATTAGCTACCATAGCAGGGCAAAAACAAATTAAAAGTCTTCGTGGGTCATCTATACCTACTGTGCTGGACTTTATCCACTCATTGTTTGCCTTAAGTACTTTTAATTAAATATTTTCCCTGTGTACTGATGCAGCAATGCAAAACTACCAAGGAAGCAATTTAAATGGCAAAAAAAAGGACAAATATTTAAACCAGAAGACGTGAGTGTGGGTATTTTAAAAGGCAGGCTTCTCTTAGTTATTTGAAGGTTTAGGTTACTGGTATCGCTGCAATGCTTGTTCTCTACTGGAATGAATGGACAGACTGCAGATAGAGCAGAATGGCTGCAACTGCAGTGTGTTCACAGAAAGCTGTGCATTCTTTACACGTTCGACTGTTGGCTCCAGATGAGGCAAAGCAATCCAGGTTTGTCATAATTTTCTGCTTTTGTGAATCATTTATGAACACCTAAATGTACCTAAAGATTAAGTGAGTATAAATATGTCTGATTGTATTTGTAAATGAGATTCCAGGTGAGAGTTTTACTAAAAGCTACGGCATCAAAAAGCCATAAAGATTGTAATTTGGAGTGTTGTTGTTTTCCATAGAGGACAGGTTTTCCTCCTTCAGAGGTTAGTCAGCAGTTGCAGATGATAAAACAGGTTTTGAGAAAGCTGTCAATCTTCACTGATTCTCACAGAAAAAGGTCAACCTCATCTCTGCGATCTTTGCTGTCCTACTGCACCGATTCAACTCAGACTGTGGAGATGCATCCCAGCTCCAGCTGTGGCTACTTATCCACCAGTTTTGCTAAACTTTCTCTCAGGCCTTTCAGGTCACCGATTTTGACGTCCAGAACCCCGATGATTCGCTGGACTTCAACCTCTGCTTGCTGCTGCTCCTCGAGATTCGTGGCCAACGTTTCCTCAGCGCTCTGAGCACGACTCTCCAGCTCGGTGTTTCGTCTCTCCAGATCCTATTTGAGCAACGAGAAACAGGCTTTTATTATTCACTGATATAAACATTTGATCACCGAGTATATTTAGTTTGCAAATTAAATATTGAACTATCAAGCTAAATGCTTAGTTAACAAGCTAATTACTTAGGTTCAAATCAAGTAATTGGCAAACCAATTATTTAGTTTACAATTTTACAAATCTAAATATTTAGTTAAATTGAATCTTTAGTTCCAATCTACAAATTTAGCTTTGGTAAACTAAAAAATTTTTTATCTATGAAGCAAAATGTTTAGCTTCAAAGTAGATATTTACCTTGCAAACTAAAGACCTTTTGTCTTTAGCAAATTTAACTATTTTGAATAATAGTGAAATAATAATGGTAAAAGGTTTTTATCGATTGCTTTCTCACACCAGTTGTGTGATGTCTTCTATGCTGATAATATAAATATTTTGAAAGCAGAAATACTGGAAAATATTGCAAAAATAGGTACTATATTTTTTATAGTACCCAAAGATGAATCAGAATATCTAAGAAAAATAAGTCAGGCAAAAGGTGCATTAAAACAGAGCACACCTGTTTTTATAAATTCTTTTACAAGGAATTTTACCAAAACAATTTATGGCGCAGCGCTTTATGAGATGAGTGTGTATAAATAAGGCCCAGAATAAATTGTGGATTGCACACAAGGACTACAGAGGTCGAAAGCGATCATCCATAATTCATATCCAACACCAGAGCTTGGAATGATAGACGACCTAATAGAGAGTATGCAATATGCATCAGATACAATCTTTGACATTAAGGAGGAAATCCCGACTAATCTGTTGTCCTTCAAGGCCTCACTTCACCACTTCAGATTCAGGTGGGCTTCAAACGTCAACCATCCATTTTACCCTTTTTCAAACCCCGACAGACTGAGGATGGATTATAAACACCGCTATCTATGGAACAGAGTTTTTTATTTTGACAATATTACACCTGTGAAGTTTGTGGAACTGTGTTTATTCACTCTTTGAGTTTATTTTGTTCAGTGAAGAAGCTGTTTTCCAGACATTTATCAGTGTGTTTTTAGTTTTGTTGTGCTGCTCTTGGCGGTTGGTTGTTACCGTAGCAACCAGTGACTGACACCCCCCCCCTTTTTTTGGTTGCCATCGGTAACTGTGGTGTTTTCTTTACAAATATTACATTTTGACATATGTAGTGTTTAATGTGCTGTTTTGTAAGATTTTAACTCATCATATTAGCTATATTTAATTTTACGAATGTCAGCTGCTACTATAGGCAGCTATTGCTTTGCAGTTTGTTTAAGTTTATTTGTTGTATTTTATTTAGTGTATTGGAGCAGAAGCTGCTGGACTGACTGACGTTAGACACCAACTTGGTTTTCTCTTTTCTTACAGTGAACCTGAGTGTGACTGTCATGGAGTAAACCTATTGGACCTGAGACGAACATAGAAGGGTTGCACATGGAGAAATTAGGGAAACATAAAAAAAGACCAAACATCTTTTGAAGGGCTGACAATTATCTGATTGCAGGAATAAAATGACCCAACTTGTAATGAGAAAAACCACCAATTAAACCTAAATGATTTCTAATTTTACATGTAAATTAAATTTAGCTACAAATGGAATGGTAAATGACCAAAACTGCCACTAGAAAAGCACAAGACTTTAAAGTTGGATAATTAAGCATGAGTGGATAATGAGGTACTGTTCAGCTGATTGGCCTCTTGAATTTAAATGAAGCCAACATTCAACTTACCTGAAGTCTCTGCATGATCTCCTCTTTCTCCTTTTCCAGTTCACTCACATCTGTTTTTCTGCACTGCAGATTCTGAATCTCCTGGAAATACATTAGTAACATTAAACACTGCCATCGCCTCCTGCTATAAGAACATAAGATCATTTAAATCAGAGGTTCCCAAACTTCAACCACAAACAGCAAACGCTACAAAATATTCAAAGAAACATCAACTTTTAGAATTTCTTTGAATTTCTCTTGTTTATTCTCTATTCAATAATGATCATTCGTTTATCCAGGGCCGACCCAAGCCCTTTTGGGGCCCTAGCTGGATTTAATTTGCCCCCCCCCAAATACCAATATGTCAACATCAAATGCTTTATTATTTCTCAGTAACTATTTGTGTGTAACATATGTACTATCATTGGCGTCATTAGTAACTAGCTAACATCATGCCAGTGTTATTATTGCTGTTGATTTTAAGCTAGTGAACAATAATATATTTGGATTTTAAGATGCAAAGTGCTGTCTACGTATGCCATATTATTTAATGTAAAATGAGTTAATAAACATTAAAATTACAGTAAACAAGTTTAATATCTTGTATTTCTCCAACAGTGTCAGCATCCCACTGCAGGAAGAGATTAAATTATAAAATTATTTGTGTACCAGCTTCAAAAACAACAGAAATTGTTTTTCCATGTATAATGGCATTTAGTTTGTATTATTAAATGTTATTATAAATACATGGATATATTTTATTATGATGGATTTGGGGACCCCCGGTTAGTGTAGGGACTCTAAGTAGCCACTTAACTCGCACATACCTTGGGCCGGCTCGCGTTTAGCACACGTGTTGCATCATACCTTCTGATTTCAGATTGCTCTGAGGTCTTAGTGTTTTTTGCAGCAGTGTTAACCACAGCAGGGCTCCTGAACGGCTTATTAATATTAATGATGTCCTTGTTAATGTTGTATTCTTATCAAAAAAGTGTCCAGTGCTACGTTAGCAAAGCAGCTTGACAAATTTGACTGTATGATTACTTTTTCCATTAAATGTATTTAATATGCATGATTATCGAACATTAAAGACAATATTTACAAAATGCTATGTTTGTTTAAGCAAACAGTTTTTTTTTTACATGATTTAGTCCAAACAAGTAATAGATATTACTGTTTAGGTATAAATAGTAATTTCATAAAAAGCTATTCTTAACAAAATACCTGTGTAATTTAAAGAAGGATCAGTAAACTAGAAATGACGCTAAAAACAAGAAAACTCATTCATCCCTTTTCATTTATGCCCAATAAACATTTATAAACATTTATTTACCAGATTATTTTTTATCATTATTGAACCAGAAGGATTCTATTTTTCACCATCAAGGATGATTCAGAGAATAATTACTTAAGCCGACACTTGCTGTTTTCTATCCCTGCATACCCACAAGGCTTGACTAACCAGCTCACTGCTGGCAGAGTATTATACCTGCCTTGTATTTATGGGCTAGCTTTCCACTCTTAGACTTCATTTAATGAGATGGCAAATTAGTCTGGACAGCGCACGATGCAGGGGCCGGACTTTGTTCCTTGCCTGCTCTTTGGCTCTCAGCGAGGCTTCCAGCTCCTCCAGCGACCGACTCAGCTCGTCTTTAGCCAGCTGACCAGCAGCAGGACGCCCCAGCTGCGCCTCCAGGTCAGCCACCTGCAACACAAAAACACCAAAAACATTTAAATATTACCAACCAGAAGACCCACACTGCCAACATGTCAAAATGTGAGGGATTTTGGAAAGCCTTTTTTTCTTTACTTCACTTATATTTGTGAGAGGTAATGTCAAATTTTAAGAAGATAACATGTTAAACCAGACGACACAGTATAAATTCATACAGCTAATTTAAAAAATGAAATAAAAACAAAAACAACTTGTGATTTTTCAGTTCAAATGCCATGCATAATTTATTTTTGTCTGAAATGCAATAATGGCAATAAAGTCGCTGGTGACAATGGGGTGACTGTTATCTGTAAACATGCAGGCATGAGCTGGTGGGCCAATCCATCACTCAGTGGTTGAGTTTTGGACCTTTGCTGAGGAACATAAAATTGGTGGATAAGATCGGCTTCACATGCAACTATTGGCCAATCACTGATCTCCCAAGATGAGGGAAATTGGACCAATAAATTGACTGGCCGATAAATCAATGCACCTTAAATTTAAATCCGTTTTAAATATGAAACATTACTTGATTGTGTTGTAAGAATACATCACTGCTTTAAAAGCTCCTGCAATCAAGTATGATGCACAACGTTTGCATAACCCTGTAAATTGTAAGAAGAAATTGGTTTTCAGATGACCAGTAAAATGAACCATTATCACATTTTGCTGGAGTGAATGTGAATTATATAGAATTGGCATAAAAATGTACTTATTTTAAGGCCGATCCTGCGATCACAAACTCTTCTGTTAAATGAAAAACTGGGACCAAACAGAGGTTTGTCCACCCACAAAGAAAGTAATTGATGTGATTTTCACATTTGATAAACATCTTTTATTCAAAGTATCATTTAGTTGAAAGCATCAGACCTCACTCCTCAGTGCAATCTGCAGAAGAATCAAGGACATCATTCTTCCTTTTCTCCCTCTCATCTCGTCCCTCTTCACTTTTCTCTTGAATGTGCAGATAAATAAAACCCGACACACACACACACACACACATACACACACACACCAAGTAAAATTACTCTGTGGAAAAACAGCTTTGCTGCCAGTGGGCTCAGAAGTGACGCCTGGAAGATTCCTCTAATAGAGGGATGTGACCTGGCAAAAGATTTCCACGGAAACCATTTCCCCCAGTCTGACCCAGTTCCTTGAGTTTAACATATTAATGGAAAATCTCAGAGAATCTGAGTGACAGCCTGACAAAACAAGGACAGCGCTGCTTGGCATCCTGATGTGATCGTTCAAACCTCTGCAATCAGAGCTGCGTTGGGGTGCGGTTCCCTCTTGGCTCTGGGTGCCTCAGATCTGACTGGAGTGCGATATGTTCTGTTCAAAGTGGCAGTAATCAGCTTAAGATGTTCAACTAATTGGATCCCAAGTGTTTACAGAGTTTAAATCTGCAGCAATTAATGGGAATCCAATTTAAATCAGATAAAGGTTGAAATGCATAACATTATTTTGTAAGCTCGACACCAGGGTTGCAATAGTTTGAAGTTTGTCTTTATGGTTTGGTTTTATTTCCTTGTTGCTTTTTGTTTGTCTAATTTTAAGTACTTTTTAGAATAGAAACTGCCTCTATAACATTGTAAAGTTATGCATGAAGGCGTCAAAATATTGTATTTTAGTATTATAATTCCTCAGGGTCAGAGCACCGTGCACTGTTAGGATAGAGAAATAAGTATTATGCACAGCATTCCCCCTCAGAATGCATTGCAATTTTAGATCGAAGTTCATTCAATTATTGAATATTCCATCAGATGCATTAGCTATTGATATTGATCATGTGTCTATCACCATATATGGTGTTATTGATTTATTACTCAGGCCTACAGAAAACAAGTGGCAAACTGAGCTGCACGAACATTGGCAATGTTAGTGTGAAATGAGGAATCCTTCTTTCTCTTAGGGCTCCTCTTCCTTTTCCTCTCCTTTAAAGTTGTCCCATACATCCCCACCGACAGTTTCAAAGTAGCGGTTTAGAGATTCAACTCCACACCGCGCTTCAGAAAACCTTGGCAGGTTGAAAGAGAGGATTGTCCACCGTCCCAGAGGCTTCAGCCTCTTTGCATTATCAGCTCTGTGTGTGTGTGTGTGTGTGTGCCACAGCTATTGTCCCCAGAGTTACAAGCTCAATCTCTGAGCTCCTCACAAACATTCACGGATAGAGAAAACTCTGAAATCTTTCTCAATTAATGTTCCCTTGGAACAGTTCAATCTTAAAACCTAAATAGAAAATCGAGCAGCAGAGAGGTAATAGATATTTCTGGTGCCAAGAAAGCAATAAAGTTCCCCAAAAACTTCTCAAGTGGAACAAGCCCAACTATAAATATATTGAATTACAATCATCATGACAATGTCAATGTGTGGAAAAAAGACGGCCAGCCAGGTCTGTCGCAATACGCAAAAAAATCAATTCACAACATAGTTTAACAGCCTCAATAATTTCCATTTGGATGTTTGTTTTTCTCCAAAAGACCTGATGACAAAACTGTTTTTCAAAGGACAGTTTTGTTTACAGAGACTTTAGTGACCATTTTATTTGTTGTTTAAGTTGTTTTGTTTATTTGATTTGGGTAATTTAAATGTGTTTCAGTTCTACTGTGAAATGTTAGATAAAAATTAAACTATATTGATCTTTGATCGGATGTACTTGCATTAATATGTCATTAACATTGTATTACTTGATAATGCTCTCAAAACACACAATTACTAATAGGATAATTTATCATCTAGCAAATTTGCATTTAGAGCTTTTGTATTTAGAAATCCATAGTATTTTATGAGCTTTCTGCAATAAAGTACCCACTGTGGAAACAATATTAGCTAATTGGCTGAACCTAGTTCAGCCAATCAGGACCAAGAAAAATGAATAGCGTTGCTTAATTGGCTGACTTGCAAGCGGCAGCCAATATTAGATTTAATGGATGTTGTCTAAAATATTTGGATATCTTGATACTAAAAAGGCAACATATATGAAGTGTGTTAATATTTGTAATGATGGCACTCAGCAAAACGTATAATGTTTACTAGTTTCTCAAATTGGGGACTGTGTTGCTTTTATTCTTGTGATGTAAAGCACTTTGAACTCCCTTGTTGCTGAAATGTGCTACACAAATAAACGATTGATTTAATTAATTAATGTAACATTTTAAAGTCTATTCTCTGAGCGACAGGACATTAGTGGAAGGACTTTATAACGGCGGTGATGTGCTCCATCTTCCTGGTTTTAGTCAGAATGTGAGCAGCAGCAGCTGTCTGATTGAATTTTTAGGCAGACCCGTGAAGACACTGTTGTGACTAAAGATAAATATATGGAGGAGTTTCTGTAGCTCTTGGAAATGTTCTTCAGGTGATGGGAGACTGACTTTATAATTATCTATACTGATTTTATAGCCTGCTATTTGCAGTATGTCTGACTTTTAACATGTCCAGTTTTCTGAAGCAGAAAAATATAAAGAAAAAGATAAACATCCCCTAACACAACCAGGTGAGTAAAAAACTGTGAAGTACTTCTTATTAAAATGCAGTACAGACTTCTGTAGTGTCAACTCTCATTAAACGTGAACAGAGGTTGCAGGAAAAGCCAGAAACCAAGAAAATAAACCCAGAGCGTTTCTCCGGTGGATGAACGCCAGCATGGCTGAGAGTGTGACGAGCGAGAAAAAAGCCAGCCAACCTTGCTCTCCCTCTGTTTCTCCAGTGATTTATCTTCTTCTAACTGGGACAGAGTGGGGAGGACGAGGAGGAGAAGGAGGGGTGTCCTGTCCCAAAAGAAAAAAAATAAATAAAAACTACTCCTGCCCCTCTCGATACCCCACTGCCAAACCCTGGAGGCCTGCTCCACTTCCAGCCACCTGGTTGACTTTGCAGCAGCTCAGAGTGTGTGTTCAGCCCTGTGATGTGTGTGTGTTTGAGGCGTAACCTTCAACTGGACATGTGCAGACAGAAAAAGAAAATAGACGGAATAATGCCCCAAGCTAAAAATAAAGAGCCACGTTCTGTCAGCGGTGATACCGTTTCACTCCAGACTGTTGAACTGTGCCACTGGAGGCGCTTTGTTAAGCCTGACCAGGGGCATGATTTCCTCTCTCTAAATTAAAGATGAAATGTCTGCGTTCTGGCCCCGCTATTATCACGGGAGCCTGTCAACAGAAATATGCCAGTGAGAGGGGAGCTGGATGAAAAATGAATCTGCAGTTTGAAGCAGTCTTTGGGGAAATTTTACTCTGATACATGCACACTATGAGGAAAAAAACGTCTAGTTACTGTCTGAGTGGTTATAAAGGACGAACAATGACGAGCAGGTCCTGTCGATTCGTCTTGGTTTTAGCAGTTATTTTTGTTCGTCTTCTTGCTTCATTGAACCATCCTGTTTTTAAATGTTGAGTAGAAAGGTTTCTTGACACATAGGAAGTAAAAATCTAATCATTCTGGGCCAATGCGCCAAACAAGCAGAAATGAAACAATGTTTTAAAAGTGACACGTTTTCCAGCGATTTGATAGAAAAGAAAATCCTCTGGGAGTGAACGACTCAAACAGCAAGACAAGTTAAGTTTAATGAATGTACTTCTTTTGAACGATAAACTTATGTTAACAACACACTGTTTTTGTCTAAGCCATCCAAAGACAATATTTACCTCAAAAGCTGCGAATAAAGCATAAATAAGAGAAAATAAACCCCCAACTCAACATTTACACATGTGTGTGAAAATTGCTGCAAAGAGATGAGCTGTTATATAACCATACATCTTTGAGAAGCAGAAGTGGGGCCTCCTGCACAACAAATGGTAAGTTAACAACAAAACACTTATCTTTTCCAGGGACCATTGTAATGCATATACAGTTGTAAAACCAGCTGACTAAATGTGCTGGAGCGCAGCTCAGGTGACAGCACCGTGCCCGTCTATAGTGATTCAACGATCAAGAGGTTTTTAAAATGGCTCATTTTCCAGACACCAAAAAACATTGACTTATTTCTAACAAACAGCTGGGTGGTTGTTTATGAGTGGACTGTTTTTAGAGACCTAAAAATGAATTTTGCAAAATAGGTCTCCTTTAACAGGATAATTAAAATGTCATAAAAGGATATTTTAATTATCCTTTTATAAGAATGTGGATGGTTTCAACAGGATGGCATCAAGGTCTAACCTTGAAACCTTTTATGCTTGCTGGAAACTGAGAGATCACATATTGCTTTGAGAATGCAAAATATGTGATGTTGGTTCATTAATGCGATGGCAGTGCATCAGGCTGCTTGTTGCTATGTGGATGAGCTTCGTAGCAGCCGCAGGTTGGCTATGACATTCGGCCCACTTGGTCATCAAACAAGGAGGAAGGAGGACTGGTAAAGCTGGAAACCATTATGCCACATTGGGCATGATGAGAGGAAAAAGTGCCTTGATTAGGATTCTTGCACTCAGATTGGTATCAGTTGCTCTCCCGAGTGAACATGGTTCAAAGCTGAGGAGCAGCACACACTCACCTCCCAATGGTTCATATGTGGTTTAATGAGGGCAGGGAGACCAGGGGATGTAGAGGTTTCAGGCGAGCGCAAATGAAAAATGTATTCATTGTATTGTCACAGAGAAACACTGGCCTTTACTTAGCAATAACGAGGGAAGAAGAAAAAAGAAAAGGAGAACAAACCCAGCGACTCTGAGCCTAAAAAAAAAAAAGACTCATAAAGCCTCTTGAAGTCCTACTTGTTGGTTTTCCAGCCTTGTAGTCTGGAAAACCAACAAGGAGGATCTTATTAAAAATAGAGATTTAATATTTTCACATAGATGGAGAAAAAAATAATACATATTACAATACACATATCTGATAGAATATTCAATAATTTCACTGAACTGAAATCCAGAACCGCGCATCATTCTGTGGACGGACGAAAGACTTTAGCTGATAAACCAACGATTGTTGGCATCAAACATCACAATCATTCCTTGGTTACCAAGCAACAACCTGCTGAGTAACCTCTGGTTACCTAGCAACAACTTTTTGAGTAACTTGCGTAGCAGCAGTTTAAGGTTTCACCAACGTACTTCACAACTGGTTCAAAGTAAAAAATAACGGCGTGGGATTAAAACTGGATAAAACAGGAAAGGTTTCCCCACTAGATATTCAAGGCAAAAAACTAATCGATAATTATCTATATCGACTGACGTGTGTTTTTCAGCAACATCGTCCAGACCTATTTCACACCAATTATTAATATATTCTTTTCAGCAAGCATTCTTAAGGCTCTCCACTGCTAAAAATAAATTTCCAGTCATCTGCTTATCTGTAAATTAAGACTAAATTAAGATTTATTTTATAGACACGTTGGCCCATTTTGATACATAAAACAACACATTTCTCTTTAATGAGAAAATCACAACCATAGCAACAACAGAGATGCATCTTGGGAATGTAATTCCAACCACAACCAAATGTAAACAACATTATTTCCCTCTGACATCCAGGTTAGAAATATTAATGAACTATAGAAAATATTGACACTAATTAGCTGTTTTCTTACCCAGAGAGCATTTTCTAAAGGCTGCAACTTAACCTGCAGTGTGTGATTTTATCTAAAAAGAATACAGAAATATACTCACAAGAATTTGTTTTAAAAAATAGCAATAAGATTAATCCTTGGTCAATTTTAACGCTGAGGAAAGAGCAGCAGATTTGGTCACCTGGTCTCGGAGGCGATCGGTCTCCTCCTGGTATTCTGCCAGCTGTTTCTTCCACTGCTCCACGCTGCTGTTGGCTTCCTGCAGCGCTGCCACCAGCTTGGCGTTGCTGTCCTGCAGAGTGAAGAGTTCAGCCTCCAAGTTTAGCTCACACATGGACCTGCAGAGACGTTGCAGAAAAAAACAACCCAAGAGTTTTTGCTTCTTTTGCGCCATTCTGTTGAGGAAATTCCAAGAAAAACACACAAACTTAGAGATAAAAAAAAAACTGCATTTGTTATCGCATTGAGCAAATACATGCATCTATTTTGTCGTTGTCTTGAGAAATATCTTGTACCAACTGTAATAAGTATAAACTTGTGTTTACCTAGCAACAACTAACATAACACATTTAATTATGCTTAACATAATTAAACAATTAATTGTCTGAAAATCCAAAAAACTGACTGTACTGTCAGACACATAACATTTAAATTTGAATATAAATTTAAAACAGGGCAATTGTAGCAAGTGTGTAAAAATGTTTAGATTTCATCCCAAATCCATCCTCATTATCTATGTATATTTGTTTTTCTTGGTTTTTAAAATGTACTTTATTTTGGTAGAGAAGCTTTTATTTTCTTGTTTCCTGTGTCTTCTATTTATGTATTAAAATATACAAAATGTCCTAAAAAGTAGGTTTGCTAAAATCAAGTTGTTATATATTGGTCCCTGACTGTTTTATGTTTAGCGCAGAGCTGACCTGGGTATTTAATTCCCACGTTACTGACATTTATTGAGTTTACCGAGCCAACGTGGTTATTTTTGTTCTTTTGATTGGTTAAGGTGTTTGTGGAGAAGTCATGGCCCAAAAACTGCTGTGCTGAAAATATTCTTGTTTTAAACAGAATAAACCTGCCCTACTGCTGCAATGCACCCAGGGTCCTGCTGGCTCCTTTTGCCCATTACACACAACAGCTGAGTCAGATGATGTGCTACACAATATTATAAAAGTGTAAATACTTTTATTATTAACGTAATAAATATCCAAGATAAAAGTTTTAAACCATATTGTCCAACCCTAATTTCTATAATTTAAAGCATTAGTTCTTTATTTTTGTTCTTTTGAACAAAAAGAACAAAAATAGCCGCTTGCGGTTTAAAGCAGCAGTGCAAGTAATTGATAAAACTGTTGTTTTTTCCTTAAATGTACTCAAATTAAAGGTTAGTTTTCTTTAAACTACTTTCTTTACTGCCATAAAAGATTATTGTATTTTAATTCCAAGCCTTTTCCAGGGTGTTAATAGCTTTACTGTGGATCTAACTCAGATTATGGGGCAATAAAACAAGGTATTGTGTTAATATTAAAGCACTCTGGTGATTATTTGAGTCAGTTTTAGAGGACTGGTCTTCAATGTGAACCAAAGCAGAGCAGCAGTGGAAAATTACGCCACTGAGTGCATATATAAAAACCAACACAAGACAATTAATGTGCTCCACTTTATTAGGAAGTGGAAAAGATCTGGTGCGCCGGTAAAGGTCAGGATTCAGCGGGGATGTGTAATGAAGCAGGGCTTTCAGCTGAGATGATGCAGTTCAGGAAGAACTCTTTGTCTCGATAACAAAACAGCTTGGTCGTCATAAAACCATAGCAACAGGAGGGAAGAGTCTGTTCAGGCTTATGAAAATCATAAAATCTCTGGGATGACAGAGAGCGGGCTTCCTGTGTTTCCACATGAATGGTTTAGCAATTAATAGTGACAACGATGAAGCCAAAGCGCCACTTAGGTGGGCAGCAGTTAGCCACCATGTTTTATTTCCCCAAGAAAAAAAAACAGAATAGATGCGAAGGTGTGCAAAGGCAGTATTGTCAAATAATAAGAAGAATAAAATGCAAAAAAGCCTAGAAACAACCACGTATGTGTGACAGGGTTTCATTTGAACAATATTTTAGATGTAAACTTAGTCAGAATTACTATATTTTAGTCAAAAAGTTATTTTCTCCTGGCATTAGTTGTCATAGAAGCGACTCTATGTTGCCCTTGACAGTTGGTGGTTACCGCAGCAACCAGTAACCGACAGCTCCGCCCCCTTTTCTGTTGCCGTCGGTAACCGTGGAGCCAAAATTGCTGGACTTTTTCTTGATTTTTGTCCTTATTGTTTCTCTATTGTTAAAACAAACACGGTGAATCCGAACGTGTTGCGAAGCCGACCCGGTGGACACTGGAAGGAGTCGGCGGCTCCCTGCAGCAACTGTTCAAGGCAAAGTAAATATAAAAGCGACGTAAATATGTTTGCCGTCACTTTCTGAACTCCAACAGAAAACAAACCCGGCTCTCAAGACACACAAACATCTGCTGCTCCTGTTGTTGTTTAACTTTAATGTGCGTTTTCTCTCGGGATTTCTGGTCATTATTTTGCTGCTCTGAATATATGACGTCTTGTGAGATATTGGTCCAAAACAATCAGAAAGCAAGAGCGCAAACAGAGCGAAATGCAGTCTGTTTTTTTCTTCATGTAAATATTTAAAGACAAATGTAAATTAAGTGAATTTTTAAAGCAGCTTCTCGTCATGTTTTTGGATCACGCTGTCAAAATCCCCAATGCTAGCGGCTTTACACTGGAGTGGAGTCAATTTTATGATCAGTATAAAACATTTTATTCCACTCAATATTAGCATCCTTAAAACTAATCAAATTTTTTTTTTGTTAAGCTGTTTGTGTTTATTTTAGCTCTGTGTGTTTTAAATAAAAGAGGGATTTATCAATTAAAAATTTACACAAAAACTCTTGCTCCAAAGCCTCATAAAAAATATGCGCTTATTACGTAATTTGCAGTGTATTTTCAAGATTTGTTGAAAATGATACATGCTTTTTAATAAACAATATGTTTCCCAGTTTAAATTCTTCTATACATCATCTTGGACTGAAATATTTGAGTTGTTTGTAAATATGAACCAAGAAACATCTGCATCTGAAAACCTGAGATATGCAGAAACTGTAAATCAAGACTTAATATTGTTTTACAACAGAGTTTGACTGTTAAGCTGTTTTCTTTAATAATGAGGTATTTCCCACTTGCATATTCCATCTACTTTTAGTTTTTATCACAATTTATGTTTCAGATCGTCAAGCATTCTTAAATGCACAAAGACAACCGGAGTTAACATGAGATGCAGGGTTAGGGTTATGATTTAACTAATTAAAAGGGAAAAATCCCAAATTTTCTTCAGGATGTTTTGGTAGAAAGCAGTGTTTATGATCAAAGCAGCAGAGAAATCCCAGACCACCACTCCACCACCACCATGTCTGACAGTCAGCAGGAATTTACACGATCAGAAGCATTTGTACGTGAGAAACATAAAAAAAGTGATTTTTATTGTCTGAAGAGACAGACATTTACAAACCCGAATCAAATTCCTGATGATTTCTACCTCTCAACCTTCCCAGTGCCTGGTTTGAACGTGCCTGACATATAAATAAAGTTTTTCGTTACCCTTCTGACAGCATCTTTTTGACCCGTTCCTTCTCAGCTGTCAGCTCCACTTCTGCGCTCCTGCTGCGAAACAGTTTTTCCTCTCCAGGCCCGTTAACTGTCAGCAGCGGCGGAGAATGACGCTCCTCCGACAGCTCCTGCAACAGAAACACAGACAACAAAACATTGGTCCAATAATTGTTGTTTGGTTTTTAATATGTGCTACAAACTAAATAATACTGACAGCATGAAACATAATGTCAAAACTTTTGTTTTATACATTCAAAGTATGAGCTTATCAATATTCCCACTCCTAAAATTATAAACTTTACTGTTAACACAAAACATTGAGATAAAATTCTATCACATATCACCTTCCCCTACTTCATATCACACTGATTCGAGGATCACATAAAATCCCAATAAAGTAAATTCAACTTCAGTTTGTAACGTGAAAAAGTTTTAAAAGTATAAATACTTCTGCTGCAAAACAAAAACATCTTGATTAAAAACTGAAGTTTTCAAGAGTGAATTTTTCCGCAGTGGAGATAATCCGGTTTAAGGTGTGATTTAGGTACACAGATCTGACGCCATACCAGATCAGAAAAGACAGGAGTGAGCTGAGTCTGCTGGTGCTGCACATGTCCCATCTGGGCTCCTGTAGAAAAGCCCTGAGCAGAACAAGCAGCCATGTGTTCAGCCCAGCTGTTTGTCTCCATGCAGCCTCGCAGGTCTGATTGGACTCAACAGGAAATTACTGATGAGCTGATTCTTGTACCGTAGCTTCATCTGGAGTTTACGAGTGATTAAAAATTATGTATGCAAAAAAAAAATTAAAAAAACCAAACATGTAGCGCTGCAGTTTGAGAGTCTGCTGATCAGTTAAATTTGAAGCAAAGCAGCAGCAGTCATGGACAGCAAGAGTGAGCCAAATCCTAAAACTGTGCTGGTAAAAGTTCAGGTCATTCAAGGAGCTGCTTGTTTCATCAGAGCATAAAACTACTGTGTTTATTAATTCTATATTCAAGAAAGAATTTGATGTAAATTGTACGTTTTGTGATTCATATCCTTAAACTTGTTTTAGCACCGTCCCTCTGTTAATGTACTTTTTGGCAGAATCTGTGATTTTATTCACAACAGCATAAAAGCACAATTTATGCTGTTCAATTCCTGTTTAAAAAAGAAAAATGCTTTATTATTTCAATAATTGACCTATTCCTATAAATACAATTTATTGTTTCAGAACTAGAATCAATGAATGGATAACTGTGAGATCTATTACTAACTAGATGCAACTGGAATTTAAACATAATTGAATTGAGTTGACTTGTGATGACATGTTGTGAATTAGTTATTTATATAAACTGAATAAAATAGAAATATTTGAACGTCAACCTGCAGAAAATCTTTGGAGTAAAAGTTTGGTCATCGCCATGAAACCAACACATTTAAATGAACCTGAATTAATTTTACCAAAAAGCAACAAAACATGAAATATCCAATATATAAAACAGTGTTGTAATTTGCTGAGGGATAATAACTACTTATTTTAAAATTATGAGGACTCCCATTGAAGTTGTTTGTTGTGTGTTTATTCCACACAGGAAACCCCAAATTTATACAATATTAGTGTAAATTTCAGAACAGAACTATATTAGGGCATCTGAGATGATAAATTAGTGATTTTTGCTTTCTTGCATAAAAACTTAAACTTGAACTCTTAATGTTGAAATCCTGCAGTGCAGAATAAGCCTTTATTATTCATATGAGCGAGCGTGGCTGCACTCCCCTGAGGACCAAAGTTGATTATCTTTTAGCTCAGCAGCTTTCTGTTTATTTTTTCCTTTGTGGATGGATGTGGATTTAAAACACAAAGCTGAGTCCTGTGGACAATCTCTGAGCCCCAAGAGGAGGAAAACGCCACTTTGGTCCAACAGATCAGTTGCATGTTGCAATAATCCATGCAGCAGATAAAGTTTGAGTCATTAAGGATTTAAAATACTTGTGTCAAAGATGCTCTGTGAGAGACTGAGATAAAAATAATCAGCTGTAAAGAAACACATCCGTGTTCCTGTGTGTATGATGTAAAGACTGTTCATGTTTAAATAATTTATTCAGTTACACTTAAATCCTGCTTTGCTGTTATTGCTTCTACGTCTCACTGGCTGACTGCAGCTAACTTTTCTCTGAAGTCAACTCTGATCAGCGTAAAGATGAAATATTAAGCCCGATAGGCTATGCAACATTTACGCTACCATCCGACCGAATCTCTAAGAGGCTCGTCTTTTCACTGCTGTTCGATTGTTGGTGATGTGTGGCCGTTACGCACCTGCGAGAGCTGAGACGGATGAACGTATCCCAAGATGCAGCAGGGGGGAGAAAACACAAGACAGAAACGTGGATTAGATAAAAATAATCATAACAAGCATTTTAAGAAAACAGTGATTTATCTGTTCTGTACATAAATTCAGAGTTATGCTCCCTCTCCTCGTTTTCACTGATGATAAGAGCCTAAAGTCGGTTACAGACAAAAAAGGCAGAAATAAAACCAAACTGATTCAGCTTTTTCCATCCCTACCATCAAGGTAAAATGATACATAATGCACACCTAATGCCTAATAATTTGTTGTGCCATCATTTTGCTGTCAAAAAGGACTCAGTCCACTGAGGTTTGGACTCTAGTAGAAGCGCAAAGGTGTGAAATCTGGCACCAAAATGTTGGCAGATGAATCAACATCTTGACTGAGGGATTATTGGTTTGTAAACACGGTGAATCCGCGAATATCTGACTGCAGAAAAAAAAAACGCCGCCTGCTTTTGATTTCTCACTGGTTACCATGGTTACCCCACTGGTTACCATGGTTACCCCATTCATCCTGCTGGCACGTTGTACTTCAACCGTTTATCACAGCGGGAAAAAGTAAGTTATGCTACCAAAAAGAATGTTGGTGAATGAAATGTGTTTTAAGGATGAAATGCAGGTGAATCGATAAATGACTAGAGAAACGTTGGACATTATTTCTCATTAACCCTTTATCATTCTTAGCTAAATATTCCTAGCTAAGCCGTCCCTTGCTGCATTTCACAATAAAGTTAAGTTTTATATCCGGACTATCAAAGACTGACAGAAAGTAGCTATTAAAACAACTGAAATCTGTACTGCTTTGAATGTACTATTGGGAACCAAAGCCCCTCAGCTTTTTCTTGAATGCTATTTATCTGTATTGGTTTTTCTTGAGGCATAACAAATGTTTCACTCTGTCTAAATACAGTATATCTGCGAATAAAGTTTAAAAAACACATCCCAATCAGGCAACAGACTTCTCGTGGCTTTGATGCGACTGTCTCTGTGCGCCATCACGTTCCTTTCAGGAATTCACTTGCAGTTTCAGATGTGACTCAGACAGCAAGCGCAATGGCGGAAAAGGATTTCTTTTTGGGAAAAATAAAAATGAGCCTGTCATAATTAGCATTTCTTTCTGAGTCTCCGTGTTGTCCTGTCTCCCCTTGATTTCTCCCAGGTGTGTCTCATCTGCATGGTTACCCTCCGTGTATTTAATCCCACCTGTCCTTTATTCCTCGTGGGGTTTGCCTATGGGCCAGCGATGGGCCAGCAATGGGCCAGCGATGGGCTTCATATGTCTAATTTAATCTACACTATTATACTGATGATATCCCTGATAGTTTAAAATTTAAACAACTTCCTGAGAGCTTTTATCACAAAGTCTCAGCAGTGCTGTTTGTCTTAACTACATCCACACTCTTTACTTATTTATCCCAGCACTGGTCTCCCATCCCCCAGCTTTATAAAGTTCCTGTGTTTCATCGAGACCCTTTTATTTATTTATTGATGCATCCTCTCAGACCTCCCTTCGTTCACCTATCCCACCCACTAAACAGCAAACCTGTGCTCACTCTTGCACAGCCTCAACTCCTTTAGGTTGCTTTTTAAACCTTTAAAGTCAGAGGTTTAAAATATTGATGTGTTGGTTTTTGCTTCCTTCTCCTTCTGCCTCTGCATAAATTCAAACATACAACAGAAGAGCCAGCTGTAGCTTTTCATAGGAGGGAGATTAAGATGTTTGTTTAAGTTCACTGTGGAGCCGAGTTTTTGTTGTTTTTAACCCGTTTCTGTCTCCAAACTCATCAGAGCTGGACGACGCCACAAATACAGTCAGACTGATCACTGCTGCTGCACTGGAGCTCAGAATGGAGCTCATCTGTCTTTTCCCTGAGAGTTAAATTTAAATTGTATTGTAGCAACCCACTGCGGTTGACTAACTTCGCATTATAATATTGTTGAAATAAAAACTGCTACACATACAATAGTTGTAGTGAGAAATTATACAAAAATTTAGCGTTTTATTTTCATCTGTTTTCCAGCAGTGCTTAAAAAAATACCAGTGCCGTTTTAATTTCCCATTACAAAACGAAGGTTTACCTCAATAAAAACCAGAGTGCACAACATTTATTAAAACGTCCCAGTAAATACGACAGCTCTCCAAAGACCTAATTACCGTCTCCCCACTGGTGATTTCAGAGTTAGTCATTTTTCAGTCTCATCTCACTGACTCCTCCATCTCATGTTTGAGCTGTGTAAATACGGTAGAAAGCCGGAGCTTCACTGCAGGCGGATCCCCTGCTGCCGCTCGCGTATCAGAGGCAGAACGTGTTCCCTGTGAAGCCCGAGGCTCTGCTGCATGCTGCAGCCCTGCACTGACCACGGCTGCTCCCGAGCAGAGCCGCGTCTTCACTACAGCTTCCCTCCAGTTCTTCCGATTAATGTCACTCTGCGCTTATTTCTTCACTGAAGTCTGAACACGTGAGGAAAAATTGAAGTAGGCATCAATATGTGAACATTTCTTCTTAAAATAATGAATATTTAATGGGTCACTCTGATTTTTTTCAGAGAAAACTGGTTTATTAGAGTTCAAACCTGAGAAAAAGAGGCAAATATGACAAACTGTACATTAGGGGTAGAGACAGTCTTAAAGTTTTATCACAATAATTTTAAGATAATTTTAGCTGATATGTTATTAGCTTATCTAACTGAGTCAAATTTCTTATTTTCTTCTTTCGTTGCTGCGTTTTGAATTTTGTTTGTTTTTTATCAAGGCAGGTCAAATATTGCTGCATGATATATGGCCTAATGTTGTTGTTGTTGTGAGACCATTTTCAAGTAACACAGCAGTAATAATGTCATATTAATGCAAGAACACGTTTTCAAAGATGAATAAACTTTAAATTATAAAGAACATTTGACACTGGAACTGGAAAACATTTTAAATATCCCAAATAAATAAACAAAACAAAAATAAAATGAATTATAGCGTCTCTGTAAATAAAACTGTACTTTAAAAAAGAGCAAGTTGAGACCAAAGCATCAGACTCAAGACTTTTGTCGTCCAGTTTTTGGTAGAAAAACAGAAGAGAATAAGCAATACATCATGCAAATGAAAATTATTGAACTTGTTTAAATTTATAACGTGATTAAATGATTTACTGCTTGTTGCGACAGGCCTACTCTCTTGTAAATGACAGACAACCTGTATAAATGAAGGTCAAATAAAAAAAATTGCTGTGTTATTGTAATAACAATAAAAGTGTCAATAATAACCATTTATTGCTTGTTTTTGTAGCTGTAAAGCTGCAGCAAACACAAATACTGCTATTTTAAATTAATTATTAATTTATTAAATTAGTTACAACAACATTTAATTTTTCTGTTGGGGTCAATAAAGTATTTTAATGGAATTTTAGAAACATACTCATCCATTATACACTTCTTTAGGACACCAGTAAAATGAAGAAGTGTGATTTATATCAATAAACTGCTCACAGTAACTGTATTTGGCCACATTTTCAAATGTATTGATATATATCGATAAATATTCAGTAAACAAGCAGTGGAGAAAATACAAAATCTAACAAAGCCGGCAATACGGAGAGTTTTGAGTTTTAATAAACATTAATTGGATGATAAATCAAAATTCCTATCACGATACAAAGTTTCTCACGATAAATGATAAACAATACAATAAATATTCACTCCTTCTATAAGTTATAGTTGTCAAAAATATTAAACCACTTCCAAGTGCTTGTAGAAATGGATTAAACTGATTTTACACAATTTTAATTGTTTATGGAAATAGTTTTACGACGGTGAAGCAGATATTTATGTATTCCAGAAACGGCTTCAATCATGTTTCAATCTTCAGCTGTTATTCTGTTTTTTTCCACTCACTAAAGTATTAGAAAACTGTATTTTAGTGTATTAATTAAGACAGAAAACCGTCTCCAGTCGGTGTTTTCCTACATCGTCTCCCCAGCAGGAGACGCTTCATTTAAGATGAGTTTTCACAGCTGGGATTCCTCTGGAGTGGCATTTAGATAAAGAATGTGACATTGTTTTGTTTGCATCACAGCAGGAACAGTTGAAAATAACCCAATCCAACTCATAACAGCGACTGTTGTTTTGGTGCTGCCAACAACAGAACCCTGGTCAAAAGAAAGAGGGAAATTATTTCAGTTCATTAGAGGTTCTACTTGTGTTTTCACTGCATTTTTCTCTGTGCTACAGTTTGGTTCAGGTCCGAACTTTGGTTGGGTTTTTGTCAGTCAGTCCTCTGAAAACCTGCAGCAATACTTGAGATCTGAACAAAGAAGATAAAAAGCTGCAAGTTCAAAGAACCTTTAAGGACCTTCAGAAATATTCGAATGGCACCGATCAAAACCATCTTGATAGCAAAATATTAGGAAATAAGGGATGACTGAAATGTTCTGCATAATAGAGAAGACAGGAAAACAAGTCCAGTGAGTGCAAAAAAATAATCATAATTTCTCTCTCAATGCTTGACAGCTGGAATGAAATGCTTGTACCAACATGCTGGGGAGAGTTTTAGCCAACAGCGCAGTAGATTATAGAAAAACATCTCCACTTTAGACTCAACATGGTGGTTTGTTCAAGGCCTGACTGAGTTTCTCACGAAGAAAAATAAATATTTGTCATGGTTTTTACACAAAAATGCAAAACCAAAATCTAAAAGAGGATCTATTTTCTTCTGCAACATTACCATAACATTAGAAATTATGTGTTAATGTTCTGCTTAAATTATGTGATTTCAGTAAAAAAGAAATGATGGAAATTTAACATAAAAGCCACAAAGTACTTTAAATTACACGCAGTAACGCTGTAAGCATGTCTCAGCACAAGCTAATATTCATCCAAGTTTTTTTCAGTAAGGCGTGAAATTATTCAGTGATGCACAAGAGCCAAATACTGCAGCTGAATCCAGAGGTTTAATAGGATTTAAACTCAACATTTTTGTTGTTATTGAAAATGTAATTTTTTATTGTCAAACTCTAAAAAAAAAACCAGACATATTCTGTATTTTTCTCAATCTGGTGTCATGAACTTTATTTTTACAGGTTAGTTAAGAAGGAATAAGTCCAAGCTGAACTTTTGTTTTTTGTCAATAAACCTCAGAAAGTCTGATGTTGCAGTAAGTGTGTGTGTGTGTGTGCGTGTGCGTGTGTGTCTGTGTGTGTGTGTGTCTGTGTGTGTGTATGCGTGTGTGTGTGTGTGTGTGTGTGTATGCGTGCGTGCGTGTGTGCGTGTATGCGTGTGTGTGTGTGTGTGTGTGTATGCGTGCGTGCGTGTGTGTGTGTATGCGTGTGTGTGTGTGGGTGTGTGTGTATGCGTGCGTGTGTGTGTGTGTGTGTGTGTGTATGCGTGCCTGTGTGTGTGTGTGTGTGTGTGTGTGTAGGTGTGTGTGTGTGATCAGGAAATAGGTAAAAAGATTGAACCAAGATCAAAACGTCTAAGTTGAATTTTAGCCAATTTGATCTCAAAAGCAGGTCAAACATTTAAAAAATCTTTAATTTTCAATGTATAAAGGAACAAAACAGCAGCAAATAACTTTGATTCACATTTTTGAGGTTAACAAAAGATCACTTAGGGCCATAACTTTGATGCATGAATCAGAATAATCATTTAATTCCCTCATATAATGAACCTTCACCATCACAATCTTCAGAGAAAGACACAGATAAATGGAAAAATCATCTCTGGTAAAAATACCTTCATTCATAACACCAGAGCCCTGCTTATGCTAGAATGTGACCCAGATGGCACAAACTTTATTATTAGTAGCAACAGCAATCCATTGCATCAGTCCGTGCTCATATTAGATTAAGTCATCAGTAATATTGATTGAGGCCGGGCTAATTCTCCAGGAAACCCATTTAGAGCAGTCCGCACAGATCCATCATCTGGGCCGTTAATGTGGAAACTTGATCTGTTTCTCATTGTGTTTAAATGCAACGTCAATAAAAGTGTTATATCCTGTTCTTTAACATGATAGAGCACCGCAGACAAAAACTCAGCAAGAAAACGTTTTGACCTTGAGCCTGCGAAGGTTTCATTTATTCCTCTGCAGCTCATTTCTGGGGAAAGCACCAGCTTAGCTTAAAACAATTATTACCACGCGGTGGCCATTAAATGTCACACACTGTGGTAAAATATTGCTCCATTTCTGCTCTGGCTGTCTCCAGCAGCTGACCTTATCGGTATTGATGCTTCGAGTGCCGCTGCATCCAGGAGAGTTTTCTCTCAGCTGGGCTAAATAAACCATCAGCGGTTATCTGAGCGTTTCAGAGCCGAAGTCGCTGCTGGCAGCGTGACTCTGCAGCCTCACAGACCTGCTGAGTGGCTCTTTGTTAAGACTTACGCCCAGCGCTCAAACCGCAGCACACAAACAAACAAACAAAACGCTCGTCTGTTTGGGATCCATGTTGAGACTCCAAGGAGACACACTCAAACTTGGCAGAGGAAGCTAATAAACAATCACAGCAACGCTGGGATTTCAAAACCTTTTTATGTGAAATTTATCTCTACAATTTTGCAGAATGAATCCCAGCCCTCCTGACGTTTCTAAGAAATGTGTGTTTCATTCTGCGGCAGAAAATCATCTTTCTGTCTCTTATCATCACCTGTGGGGTGACACTTTATGCAAAGCGGTGTGCATAAGACAGACATTGCACTGCCTAGAATATGAAGGAGTCTTTATGAATGTTTAGTACCATTGTTATGAAGTGTCATTTGGTAAATAATGCAAAGATGTACTAAAAAATCCATTAAAAGTGTAAACTTTGCATTATTTAGTAAAGAATGCCACTTAATGCAAAATTCCATTAAATCTTTGATTTAAAAGCCCATTAAAAGTGTCAACTTTTCCTTAAAAGTGTAATTTACTGAGTGACACTTCATAAAAACAGTCAAACAGTCAAACAGTGTCATGTCAGTCTTATTCATCCATCTATTTTCTAACACCCTAGTGGAGTCGGGGTGCTGGTGCCCATCTCCAGTGGGATATTTGGGTCGAGATGTGGGGTCATCCTGGAGGTCGCCGGTCTGTCTCAGGTCAACACAGAGACAGACAACCATGCTCACTCACACTTTGGAGAATTTAGAGAAACCAGTTAATGTTTTTGGACTGTGGGAGGAAGCTGGGGTACCCGGTTCAGAATCCTGGGAGTCGTGCAGAAAGACCCCGGGCCGGGAATCGAACCTTCTTGCTGCAAGGCAACAGTTGCTGCCAACTGCTCCACTGTGCAGCCCGTCAGTCTTATTCAAATCCCTTTAAATAAAGAGCTACCCATCATGGAGGTGGAATGATTTTGAAGAAAATGTTTCTGTCTTCACTAGAATGCAATCAAGTTTACTGAGAATCCAGCAGCGTTGACAGGATGAAAGTTGCCCGTTGCTCCTGCAGTAGCAACCAGATTCCTTTCGATTATAGATGAGTCAGCTCCCTCTTTAGCCTGATCCCTCATTCGTCTTTCTTGAGTTTCAGTCATTACTGCCCGTCAGCACACCTTCACTGCCGACATTTTTTACTGCCAACGATCTCCATTTGTAATGCATGGGATCTTTTAATGGAGTTAACCGATGAGGGAATAATGGAGCAACCAGACGGGGATTTATCTAATCCCTGCTGGGTTTGTGTGAGTTTCTAATAGAAATAAATGTGCTGGATGTTACCGCTCCACTGCCAGAAAGACAGGACGGGATTAAGAGAGCAAAAAGACGGACGGATGGATGGACGGACGGACGGACAACAGAATAAAGTTTATGCAAACAGTGAAATTAAAAGTGAGAAAACTTTTTCTCAACGCTTTAAAAGACGTTTTCTCTTCATGCAACACCAGACGCTCCCATCATGAGTCCAGGGAACAGAAATAGACGCTATTAAAGCTCCTGTGATGCTACATAAAACTAGCGGACAGTGATGCAGTGCTTCTCAGTCTGGGGGATATAACCTGAATTTCTGTCTCTATTTTTAATAAGCCTGTCAGGATAGAAAGTTCTTGTAACAAACATTCAAATGAAAGTAGTTCATTATATTTAGTCGACCCAATAATACCAGCATTCGGCCACATAAACTACACAGTACCGCTGTAGTTTACACAGGATTTATACTTCTTCTAAACCAAACTTTGACTCAAAAGTAAAAAAACCAAAAACATAAACAATCTAAAATCAAGCGAATAAAGTAGCCCAATATTTATTGTAGACCCAAAATCTGCAAGGTTTTGTTTTTTTTACGATGGTGTACTATTTTGATTAAATTTTCCAAAAAACTTTTCAAAGGAAATGTTTTTTTCTTTGAAAATTTATTTGAAAATTAAAATGTTAAAAAATATATCTTACCTTTGAAAGTTTTCAAAGGAATTTCAAATTTTTTCTGAAAGAAATTTGACATTTAACAGTTCTGAAATTCTCAAGGTTTTTGCAGAAAGTTTCTTTTATTAATCTAAAAATTTGAAGTTTTTTTCCCCCCTGTTTTTCTAGAAAATGTCTGAGATTAATCTAAAACCTTTTTGCTACAATTATTTAAAAGTTTTAAAGAAGATATCTAGTTTCAGTTTCTTTTGGGCTTGATTGAATACATGTATTTTCAGTAATAATAACAGGATTTGGGTCACTTTATTTCAAGATGCTTGCTATATTTAAGTTTATGAAAGAATAAAAGCTGATTTGGGTGGAGCAAACTTGGCTTTTGAGTAAAAGTCTCTTAGTTTTACCTTTTGTTAAAGCTCAATAAAAATAAAAAACATGAATACTTTGTGTTGTATTTCATGTAATAAATTTGGCCCATAGATGCAAATGGAGATTTTTAATGTGTAATCAGGATAAAAATTGTTACTAACATAATTTTCAGTCACTTGGGGGCCACACAACATCAGTGCAAGGGCCACAAATGGCCCCCGAGCCGCACTTTGGCCACTCCTGCTCTAAAGGTCACACATTATAACGGAGGAGGAGCCAGTGCTTTCCTACTCCGCTCCATCGCCTGCAGATAATCCACGTCCTGCTGGTAACTGTGTCAGGCCGGCTTTTAGTGGAAGTTAGCAGGAAGCCGCTGCTGGTGAAAAAGGAACATTCCAGATGTGCGTTCATAGTAAGGAGCCCCTGCGTGTTATTGTTTACATCAGGGAAATTTCTGGCAGGGCCTCCAGTGCTGAAGGTCAGACGCCGCGGCAGTAGGACGATCCCGTTACCGAGATGAAAACTGGAGACGTAGGTTTGATTCATTTAGTGCAGAGCACAGAAAAACCGTTGAAGTTTAAGCTTTTTATCTTTTAAACAAACTTTATGGCCCCAATGTTGCTCCGTAATGATGATCCAAAACTGTCCATATTGTCCGGATTGTTAGTTTTACCATGTCCTCCACTGTCTGCTCAATGAAAGCATCAATTAATGTGAAAATATGAATAGATGCAGATGTGATTTGCTGTTAAAATACAAATTACACTTCTTTATGTGACTGGTGTCCTAAAGAAGCGTATTCCACATGCATTTGGTTATATTGTACATACACAGACTACAGAAACAGCAGTTCTACTTAAAACTGCTGTATTTTCTTTGCTGTTGATGTTTCATTTCCAAAATTTCCTGTTTTTAACACAAAGACGCAGTGATGGATTTCTGGGGGAAAGTCTTTAATTCCTTAGAATAAAGTGTGAGAGAGTAGTGCATCTATTTTAGCTGTGATGAGCCAGAGAAGGAGGAAAACGTTCACCTGAGGAGCTGCGATGTTGAGTCCGGGGTTGGCCAGTTCAAACCTCTCCTGGGATTTCTCTCTGGCCAGACGAGCCGCCTCCTTCACCTCCTTAAACTGCTCTGCAAACTTCATGTGCAGGAGGAGAAAAGAGAGACTTCAGACTCTGAATAGTTAAAGTTGGATGAATTTACAGCTGTATCGATGCGGCATCTGTTCTCTATTTCTGCGTATGCATCATGCAGATTAAGATCCAAGTTCTGAAGACGGAGCAAAACAAAAAAGGTCAGAAGTGGAATATAAATTAATGCCACCAAAGAAAGCTTGGTTGGGAAAAAAAAGAGAAAAGGTCAGTTTTCAGACACCATCTGAATGCTTGTAAGCTCCTACAAGATGAGCTAACGCTCCGTCGGTACCTGCTGCAGCTGCTGCTCCGTGGAGAAACCCAGACCGTAGACGGTGTTGGCCCGGCTGTCGGCCCACTGGCCGAACTTCTGGGACGTTTTGGTAAACGTCATGTTGGGCGTGATGGTGCTGTTGATGATGGCCTGGGGAAAAAAAATTATAAAAACACAAAGTTAGAAATGCATGTAGTTTATAAGTGATGAATAAAAGGATGCGACATTTAAAAAAGAGAGAAAATGAGACAGAAATCCCATCTGTCTGAGGCGGAGACTCTTAAAACTCGCCTGTTAATGATTTTCATAAACAATAAAGTTATTATTTATGAAAGCTAACAAATTAAACTAAAATTATTACGTTTTTTACATTTTAGAATAAAATGAATCTCTTATTTAAAAAGAAAAAAAAATGAAGCTTCTTACTTTCAAAAGCCTTTTGCATATTTTGGATGAGAAGTTGAAGAAAAACTCATAAAATTATCAACCTGAAACATTTATTTTTGGTTTTGTAAGAGCCATACAAGGAGAAATGACACTAAGCATTTATTTACACAGTATTTTAACCTCTTTTTTTATTGTTTATTGTTTACAAATCATGATTCTTAAAACAGAAATATTGACTTGATGTAATTGGCATGTAATGCTCTGAATCCTGGGTCCTTTTGCATGAGTTACTGCATCCATGCGGCGTGGCATGGAGGCCTTCAGCCCCCTTTTCTGTTGAGGTTATAACAGAGCAGGTTGCTTTGTCAGCAGCTGTTTCATCACTGCTACTACACAAAATTCACTACAGATTATTTATATAAAATACCAATTCACAACAAATGCCGTTTCGATGCTCTTTAGGAAAAATGATTTCCATTTAATCATGCAAGGTTAAAGTAAAACTTTTTAAAATCTAATTTTCTTGTCATCAGGGGAGAAATTATTTGCTTTTTTATAATAAAAATTGTTTCCACAAAATTGTTTTTTTAATTCTCAAATTTTAGTTCTTAAAAAATGACATAAAATTTACTATATAAAAAATTATTTTTATGTTTTTATTTATTTATATTTGAAAGATCCTGAAATATTTGCAACTCAAAACGAGTTTATTTAGCTGGACTGAAAGCAAAAATGGCTCTTTGATTATTATTTTTTTAATGCAATAACATCTGTGACACGATGGTATCACAAGCCCAGTGGTACCATCATGATTAAAGTAATTATAGGTGCTTTAATGGTGCGAAGTCCAGTTGGAAAATTAATTCAATGTCTCCAGAATCAGATGTTGTGATTAGAGGGAATCCTGGATGGTTCTGACCTCCATCGGGTCAACATCCCCAAACCCTCCTTGACCGTCCCTGTCCATGCTCACACTGTTTGATTTCTAAAATTATTACATTTTTTTACTTCAACTTGAACAGAAAGCTCTGGATCAACTGAGAAAATGTTTCAGTTTTGGTCATTAAGATGCTTCTGGTTAAGAATATGACAGCTGCAGCCCAGTTCTGGAAACATCTGTGGCCTTTGAGGCACCAGCTGCAGTCCACGCCTCGCAGGTTTCCCCTAAAATCTTGAATGAACTCGGCTTCATCGTCTCCAAGGCTGCAGTTATCCTTAATGTGTTCCCTGCTGCTTGTTCAAAATCCCCTAACAAGACATGAAAGCATGTTAAACATGTCGGATTTCACTGACATCAGAAGAAGCAGAAGATGATTCCTGTCAAAGAAATTTAATTTTTTAAGAGTTATCAGCTGCAGTTCATAGCAAATACTAGTTTACTAGTTTGTTCCTGTATTTAGGCCTTCTTTCAGATATAGAAGAGCCACAAATAGAAACAAGTTCCCAACAACCAGGACGCAGAAAGAGGGAAAAGTTTGATGTGCTAAAGCGAAGTTGCTTCCATAAAATCCTCCAGTGAATTCGATCGTTTCAGGTGCATTTGTTGCCAGACTTGTTTCTTTTAGTCTCTCCTCCAAAAGCCTCCAGTCTCAGAGGGGGAAACTGGCACAACTGTCTTGTGTGTTCTCCATTTTGATGGAGATGTTCTGCTAGAGTCCCGCGTGCTTTAAGCTATCGCACAGAACTCTGCGCTAACAAGAGAAATGGGTTAGAAATATCATTCTGACAGCATGTGCAGCGTACTAACCATGGCAAATAATCGCCTTTTATTTGAAGAACATTTTGACCAGAGCAGGGAAATTTATGGCCTGGATTGCTTTTTTTTTGTTTTGTTTTATGTAACATAAGTAGCTACTACAAAAAAGAATAAATTGGATACAAGTTTTTATTCAATTAATCATCAGAAAAATCAGTGAGTTATTCAGATACTAAAGTAATTGTTTAGTATTACCTAAACTTCACTAATTGTCACATCAAGAAAACTAATTTTTCGAGCAAGAAGTTAGTCAATTCTTTAAAAGTAAAAATTTTTTTGAATCAGATTAAGCAACAGCTGCTATCTTCCCACATTCACCATAAAGCTCGCACAGAACTATAAATCCTGATTAACTGCGTGTCAGATGTGAGCCGACGGTGATCTGGGCTCCCCACCTTCGTCCCGCCCACGCTGATGATGCGGTAGACGTTGCGGCTGGCGTCGTAGAAGAAGGACACGGCGACGGCGTGCTTACTGGCAGGCAACCAGTTGCGTTTGGTCGCCGGGTCGATCTGGAAGACATGAGCTCTGGTGCTGAAGATGGGCTGCTCCCTTAAAACAACGAGACAGGAGCACAACGTCAGTCTGAACGCTTCAGAAGACAAAGTGGCAGTAAGAGGAGGAGGAGTGGCAGTAGTAGTACTTGTAGTACCAGTAGTTGTACTAGTAGTAGTAGTAGTAACCGTAGCAGTAGCAATAGTAGTACTAGTAGAAGTTGTTTCTGTTTATGGATCATCTGTTTATTGCTCTGAGTTGAATTTGTTTTAGACGTCGTTAGTCAAAAACTGCTTTTGAAAACATTCACACTGTAATGTTTTTATTCATGTTGCATATTGAAGCAACATGAATAGCTTGGATGCATGTTAGATTGTTGTTTGTTTTGTTTAGTTCTGTTGGTTTTAATGCATGTGTTGTGACTACATTATGGCTACGTTATGGTACCTTTTTGAGGTTGATTATATATGTTTATATAAATAATAATAAAAAATTTGATAAAATTTTTAGAGACCATTTGATTCTTAAAATGTACATCCAAACCTAAATCTTACATTGTGTATTTTAATAAAACGTTTGTATTTTCAGAGAAAGCTATTTCCATTTGAGACCAAGATTCAAAGAAAAAACTTAGTTAAATGCATTAAAGGTGTTTTAAAACCCGTATTTCTGATGCTTGGACATCTTAAGCACACAGCTGAAAGCCAGAAGGCGACCACATCAGAGCTCATCAAAGAAAACACAATATCATGATTGTTTTCCAAGGACCCTGAGGTCAGTGAAACTGAGATGATATAATAATGTTTTGGGTGCAGAGAGGCTGAAGCTCTGCAAACCCCCAGCAGTCCAATTAGTCATTCTTCTCTTGTAAGACGAACTACAAACACTGGCTGTGGGACGAACAGAACCAAGAGACATACAGGACACTGATGGACCAAAAGAGGCCCATTGGTGAATTCATGCAACACTACACAGCTAATAGAGTTTGCAGAAAGTCAATGCATGCAATGAGGCGCTTCTTTTGCAGCTATATACCAACATTATGGCAATAATGCGAACTGAGAGGAGGCAACGGTCCTCTGAGCAGGAGAAAATACGGTTTATATGGGTCAGCACCGCCTATATGAGCAATCGTTCCAGGCAGATTTCATAGGCATTACTGAACATTTGCATCCAAACAATAGTCGTTATTGTTTCTGCCACAGTTAACAATAGACAATAGCAACAGAGCCGAGAAAGCTGATTTATATGGTGTTATTCAGGTTGAGGATGACAGCAGCTGCAGAAATACAGAAGAACTTTAGATACAAGTTGGTTCAACATCCTCCAGCCTTATTTAAAAATCAGAAGCTTTTTGAAATGTGTTGTTTTCCAGACACTACAAATTACTAACTTATTTTTAGCGGCTGGACTGTTTCTAGACACAGCAGAGACCCAAATGAAAATACAAAGTCCTTGTTTATATTGTTTTTAAAATGTATTTATATTCAGAGGGACATATATTGTTACTGTGTCTCTGTAATAAGTGAATTTCCCCACTGTCAGATAAATAAAAAACTACTTTCTTCCACTTTAAAACGTAATTTTTGAGCAGAACGTTTCCTATAAGTTATCAGAACCAAATTCACATTATTTGGAGATGTAAATAACAATAAATGAAGAATAACCTTTTCTTTCCAGGCTGTACTACCTTAAGCCCCCACAGTCCAATAACATCTGTTGGGTTCATTACTGGTTTTGAGGAACATAGAACAATAAAAAAAAAGAAATAAAGCTAAATGTCTTCAGATATGATCAACACATTAACATGGCAACTGCTGAAAAGCAAAATACATCCTGCAGCTCGTTAATTATGATCTTTTCAGTGAGAAGCTTTATTAATGATGAACAGCAAAGCAGCAAAGAAACATACAAACTACAAGCTGGAAGAGAAATATTCAAAATCCTGTTTGTTGTTTCTGTCTGAATTGTGTTTTTATGCAGTCGGACGTTGAAATGTGTTTTTAATATTCTTCCTCTGTTGTATTATCGCGCGTCGTGCCCAGAAACATTACAGCCGAGTCTCAGCATGATCACACCCAAATCACCAATACTGAGAAACGACCTGCACGGCGATAGGAGACACAATTCACTGAAACTGCACCCACAGCCACACAGATAACTGGGAAGTTGTTCTGTCCTCCAGTTGCAGAGATACTTAGTTACAATAGAAACAAAAGCAAATAAAAGAAGCTTTTTTGTTTTTTATCTTTGCTCTGGATAAAAAGCCTTTTTACAACCAGAGGAGTTAATAAACTAAAAGGTTATTGCCTTTTAAGACGTTATGAAAACCGAAACCCAAACGTGGGATTTTAATAAGAACGTTCTGTCCAAGCCTGTTCCATCAAATCAGAGTGTCCTACATTTTACCTGAATGTCACAACAACAGATATGAATCAGCAACTCAGAAACACCTCATTAGACTTAATTAAACGAATCATCTGGCTGCACAACAAATAAAGCTGACAATGAGCAAATAAACAGGGGAAAAAACTATAATTGTCAGAGAGTAAACCAGGATTTCCCTCCTATCGTGTTCACATCTTAATGAGAAGCGATGACTGACGGCTCGTCAGCCCTGGCAGAAATTAATTGGCCTGGCTGCGACGTCACTGTGAAAAAGCCCGTCGAGCTAATCGGCTCAGACAGGAAGCGTCACGGCCATGTTTGATGAAATGAGCAGATTAAAGCTGGATTAACGCTCTCCTGAGGTGAGAACACAGACTATATTCAGGAGTAATCCGCAGGAGCGTCTACTTGCACCACAAAATAATACATTATCAAAAAAAACTTGATCTAATTACCATAGACCACATGCTGTGAGAGCGTGGCTGGTTGGACGCAGATAGGCTGCTAACAAAGAGGAGTTTCAGCCCTCCAAAGGTCAGAGTTCAAGAAGTAAAAACCTCTTTCGTTCCATTTGAAGGTTTGCATGAGCTTAGCTTGAATGTCACGTCCAATTTGGGCTTTTAATTACTAATTTGGGGTTTTGACTGTTCATGCAACATACAGTTTGAGTGAGTTAAGGATTTATTTAGAAATTATCTTTAATCCACACAGGACCGACATACAGCTGCAAGATATCAGAAAAACATAATTAAGATGCTGAATGTCTCATTACTATAACCAGCAATAAATTAATTAAGAAAAAAAGATTTTTCTGCTTTGAATTCATAGAAAACATGGATCCTGGATAATAAATCGGAGGTGTCCAAAGTGTGGTCGGGGGGCCACTTGTGGCTCTTGGATACATTTTTCTGGCCCTGATTGCAGATTAAGAACGATTCAAATTTGACGCTGCAGCAAATGAAGCTGATTTTTATGTTTTTAGGATGAGATTCCAAAAGGAAAAATATATATTTTTCTTTTATGAGTCATGTTTTTTATTTGTTTTTATAACTCAGGCCACAAACATTCAAATACGACGTTTTCACCCCACTAAACATCTGATACTCGCCACTTCCATCATGGCAGCAAATCAAATAGTTTTCAAAGTGTCTGCAGAAACAAAAGTGGAAATTTGTATTTTGTTATAATAAATATGTTTATTTATCTGAATGAAACAGATAAATAAATATTAAATACTTTATTAGAGAGAGAAAAGTAATCGAACAGGAACAGAGCCGAGTCCAGACATGATTTCTGGTTCTTCGCGTGATTTTTCACATCTGCGGAAACATAATTTTGATTCACCCACTGCTGCTTTGAGAGCAGCTCTTCCCTTTAATAAAACCTCTGAAAGTTTGCCTCAGTGAAATCTTTATGGCCGTTGAGCCGAGGTGAGAGGAAGTTTAATCGATCAGAGCTCACACACCTTCTGAGATGGCACGAGAGTCGCTAAGGCTATCAGCTCCATTCCTCCCTCCTGATAAATCGATTGCAGCACAGATCTGAGAAACCCAACATCCTCTTCCTCCTGGGGCGCGTACACATCTTACTGTTGTGTTTACAGATGAAAATTTCTCTCTGGTGTGCAGAAAAAGATTTCACTGCACAAGCTGGACATGAACGCCGAGGATCCGACAGAACAAGGAGACTAATGGACTTCCTCTGCACTCATGCTCCGTTTTCTTACTAACAAAAGAAAATATAATCAATATGACAGCAGTCATTGCAACATTTCTGCAAATCTGGCCTTAATGTTTTCTATATTTCCTTTTTTCTGACCAATCACTGCATTTTGACCAATAAACTTCTAATTCCTGTTTCACATCGTCTGATGAAATGTTTTATGCTAAATGGTAACATTTGCCTTTTTATTATTATTTTCTGCAAAACATAGTTGAGATGTTCAGTAAGATTTACTTATTATATGTATATAGTTTAATGCATTTCAAACCATAAGGAAAATTCTATTAAAATGAAAAATTCCTGGCAGAACCTGAAAATGTTATTTGAATTTTAAATATCAAATAAGTTAAGAGGTTATGTGAAACTTCTTTGTAAAATGACGATATTTCAAAAATTCTGATTAAAAAAGTAGAAAATTTGATTGCAAAGTTGCTGCAAAATTAGTAATTTTAGTCTGCAACAATCACAACATTTAACTTTTTAAATTAAGTGAAATAATTTCAAGAAAATGCTCTGATGTGGGATGAAATATTGATCAGTTTGTAACTTTTTTGTTTTCTGTTTGTCTTGATATTTAGTCAATATTATCTGAATTAAACTGAAACTTTTTGTAACTGTTAAAAATAAAAAAAAACACTCAAAATCAACAGGAAATGCTAATTTTCCCACCTGGTTTTGATGCTGAAATTAAAGTCACATGAAACAGTTTGCAGTCCAAATCAAACATATTATCATTCATCTCCTTGTTGTAGAGTAAAACCATGAATTATTCTGCACTTATTTTCTGATTTTGGAACGTAATATTAAGATGACGCAGTTGAAACAGTAGGAAGAAGCAACAACTGATAAAAAAAAGATAAAATGTGAGCTAAAAACTGCATGACGAGGTGAAAAATGAAACTTTAGTTTACAGCTGGATAAAGTCGCCACTGAGCAGGATTTTCATG